TTGAAGGCCTAATATGAATGTATTGAAACAAATACACAGGTCGCCACGGCCACATATTTGCTTAATGGTTCGAACCCTGTCGACTCCTATTGATCCGTATAGAAGGATCGGGTTCGAATTTAAATTCACTTGTTGACCCGCGCAACATCCCTAGACGTCACGTGTGTACCAATAACACGTTTGCCGGGGCCTATGCGGGTTGAGATTGTATTTACCCATTGTGTACCTATGTGTATACAAACTACGGTGCACGTGTAGGAATATTTTGAAATATTATATAGTTGTGCATGTAACAGCCATTTGAGTGCGTACAACTTTTCATTTGAGGGCTTGTACACGCCTTCTGTCCGCTAGCACGAGTATTGCGGATCCGGTGGCGTGGGGTTGTAGGTTGTAAACGCCTTCTGTCTGCTTGTATCAGTGTTGCAGATCCGGTGGCGTGGTTATTTGGATGTCATGAGGTATTTCCTCATCTTGACATTAACCCCCGTTTCTCAATCACTAGGGAAGTTATTTTCTGGATTTTGAAGTCCGTCGTTTTGATTTGGAAAGAACTCTTTTTAGGCTCTTCGGTGTAGTGGACTTGTTATTTCTGGTATTTGTGGGTACCAGAGTTGTTTTCTTCTTAAATATAGAATTAAGAAGAGACTTTGGAACACCAGAAAGTTTGGTTCTAATTTGTTCAAACATTTTCTCCCTTCCGCCAGGGGTGTCTTTTTTCGTCATCGGGTTGCCTTTGTACCCGGTGTATTGACAACACTTTGATCACAACTGTTGTAGGTGATATCTGTACTTGTGCCCACAGTGGTTCGTCGTGCCTACGATATATCCACTGTTGTTATCCACAAGTATCCATTTGCAGGGGATCGCTGCATCTATTACGATCTCCTAAAAATATTTGTAGAAGACTCATTGTTTCTGCATCATATCCACCCTTTCATCAGTCTCGGGTGGTTTTGCTAATTGTACTTGTTTACAGGGGACGGTCTTTCTTCGTACACCAGGTTATTCTTGTACCTGACATGCTTGTAGATCCTAATCACCGTTATCGTAGGTGATATCTGTACTTGTGCCCACAGTGGTTCATTGTACTTACAATACACACTGTTGTTATCCACAAGTAGCTTGTACATATTTACGGGACCCGTTGTATTTTCTACGACCTCCTGAAGGTATTTGTAGAAGACCCATTGTTCTTGTATCATACCCACCCTTTTACCAATCTCAGGTGGGTCTTGATTGTACTTGTTTGTAGAGGACATGTCTTTGATTGATGGTCTCCAGTATTGCCATCTCATTCAACAGGCTTATGTGGGGATTGTTGCTGGAGTTCACGCATTGAGGTCTTGTAACGTACTTTGAGTCATTCTTAACCATATAAATATTCTTGTAGTTTGAACTCCCTCGTGTGTGATTCAAGCTACTTTCAGAGCCGGCGAACTCCTGTTCTTTGCTTCCGATCGGAATGCCGTAACTTCCGTCCCGACAGGTAGGGAAAGTCGTCGGACTGAGCGAAGTCGGACAAGCCACGAATGGAGCTGGAGGAGCGCTTGACGGGGAGAGAGTTACCTTCACAGGCGAGCTCCCGATCTTGCTTCCGATCCGACAGAAGGAAAAGTCGTCGAAGGTGCGGGCTCGACCAGCCACGGGAAAGCCGAAGAAGCGCTCGACGAGGAGAAAGCTACCTCTACAACGAGCGGGTTCCCGTTCTAGCTTATGATCAAAACGTTGTGGTTCCGATCCGACAGCAAGGGAAAGTCGTCGAATGAGCGAGAGATCGAGAGAGAGCGAGAGAGAATCGCATGAGAACCGAGCGAGGCCGAAGGCCTCGTTTTCTTTGGCTTTTTTAACGACGTGAGGCCGTCGTGCGATGAAACGACATAAAGTCGTGTAAGAGGACGGCGAGATCGCAGAAATCACGCGAAGAATGGCCGCGTCGAATCGTGTTAGGGCGGCGTCCGTAGAGGTACGTTTTTTTTTTTATGTTTGTAGGTCAACACACAGTCCATTGGAAATCTCCTTTCTTGAGGCAGTCTCTTATGGGGGCTACGATTGTGCTGAAATTCCTAATAAACTTCCGATAGAATGTGACCAATCCATGGAAACTCCAAACATCTCTGATAGTTTTAGGTTCAGGCCACTCGTTGATTGCTTGTACTTTCTCAGGATCGGCTGAAATTCCTTGCGAGGATATTATAAACCCTAGAAAGGTGATGCTAGTTGTGAGGAACATACATTTCTTGGGATTTGTATAGAGTTGCTCCTTCCTCAAAATCTCACAGACTTGGCCTAAATGATTTAGATGTTGATCCACCGAATTACTATAAATTAGGATATTGTCAAAGTAGACAACGACAAACTTTCCAAGGAATGGGCGAAGGACTTGGGTCATTACTCTCATAAAAGTGTTAGGGGTGTTGCTGAGACCAAACAGCATAATCATCCATTCATACAGCCATCTTTAGTCTTAAATATCGTCTTTCATTCGTCCCTAGGTCTGATTTTAATCTGATGATATCCACTCTTTAGATCTATCTTCAAGAAAAGGGGTGCTCCCGTCATTATATCCAATATGTCATCCAAGCGGAGAATAGGGAAACGAAATTTCACAGTAATCTTGTTGATAGCGCGGCTATTAACACACATCCTCCAAGAGCCATACTTCTTGGGAGTTAGAACTGTGGGAACAACACAAGGACTTAGGCTCTCTTTGATAAATCCCTTTTGGAGTAAATCATCAACTTGTTCTTTTAACTTAGCGTGTTCTTCCGGGTTCATTCAATAGTGGGGAAGGTTGGGCAAAGAGGCTCCGGGTACTAAGTCTATAGTGTGCTGGGTGTTACGCAAAGGGAGTAGATGGTTAAGGAGATCCATTGGGAAAAAATCCGCACAAGTGTCAAGGAGAGGCTGGACTTCTTCCGGGATAGGTTCTCCTAGCTTCGTGCTTGCTTCCCGACCACTAGGGCATACACAGGAGCTCCTTGACTCAGTTCAACATCGACTTCCTTTGCAGTTAACAAATTTAAACCTCTGCTAGATTTAATGGGGACAGGTTTAATGTCAGTTTTGTTTGGTTTATGTTGGGAGGGAACTAGTTTGATCTTCTTGCCATTATACTCAAACACGCAGGTGTTTGTCCTCCCATAAATGTGGATGTTGTTGTCAAATAACCAAGGCGACCAAGGATAATTTGACCCACATCCATCGTCAACACGTCACACCAAATCTTCTCTTGATATCCAACAAACTCGAGGGGAATAAGGCTCATATCTTTTATCTCCATGGAAGTCGAGTTAATCAAGGAAACCTTATAAGGATTCGGTTGGGGTGTCGTCCTTAAGTTAAATTTGGATATCATAGCGGAAGAGACAGCGTTGATATAACTTCCACTATCGATGATGACCTTACCGCTCTTATCTTTAATCTTAGTAAAGGTATGGAAAATGGAGGTCCTACAAAGGGGTGTCAAATTTTGACACGACCCGAAACACGACCCGAACCCGGCCTGAAAAAATTCGGGTTCGGCTCAACCCGAACCCGAGACGGGTCGGGTTCGGGTTAACCCAGCAACCCGAAATTGACCCGAAAGTGACACTAAAACTCATATTTGACTCTAAAACTCGAGATTGACCCGTTTTTGACCTGAAAATCGAATATTGACCCGATTTTTTACTCGAAAATTATCAATTTTAGATCAACTTCGGGTCATTCGTGTCGGGTCGGGTTGACCCGGACCCGAATTGGGTCTGGTTTGGGTTGACCCGAACAGTGCTAGGTTAGTTCCGGGTTCGACCCGAACCCGACCCGCTGACCCGAATTGACACCCCTAGTCCTACGCCATTCATCACTTGGCTTTGATTGGGAAAACACACATCTAACAAGTTGTAGATCAACAGGGTTATCTTCGCAGAAGAAGTCTTCTTCCTCATCAACGTGATGAACTAGATCAGTCTCAAGCTCTTCCTCATCTTCTTCAACTTCTTCGATTATGGTGACCTTACATAGACTGGAACTTTGCAAGGCAATGTGTCCATATCCATGACACCTATCACACTTGGTTTCAGAAGTGGCTTTGGGAGTATCACGCTCGGGAGTTTTACCTCTAAAATCAGGGCGAGGTTGAGCTGGGCTAGCAGTTGGTCGGTTGCTCACAGGGCCATTAGGTCGGTTCTTAGGTTGACCGGAGGAACTTCTAAACGGAGGTGGGCGGGTTTCTAAGTGCTTCGAATGGGAATGGGTCTTAGACTCTTCCAGGCCGAGTACTAAGCTGCAGGCGGCTTCCACCGTATCAACTCCTCTGGCGAAGAGTTCATTACGAAGATCTTCCCTAAGGCCCGCTTTAAACATAGAAAGGATTTGGGCAGGGGTAGTGGTTTTTTCTCCGCTGCAACGGATCATGTAGTGATCAAAAGCAGATATATACTCTTTTACAGATCTACTCCCTTGAGTCAGTCTATTCCATCTATCTAAGAGTTTGGGGTAGTAGGACGGAGGGAGGTATTTTCGCTTGAGTTCTTGCTTCATGGTTCGCCAGTCGGTGATGGGATGCTCACCTCGAGCTTCGTGCATGTTCTCTAAGTTTGTCTAGTATTGGCTAGCTCTATTTGTAAGCTTCATCTCCGTGAACCTAACTTTTCTAGCATCCGAGATTTTATACCATTTGAAATAACTATCCATCCTTTTGAGCAAATCCAAGAAGATTTGAGGGTCGAGGGTGTCGTCATAGGAAGGGGCGTCTATTCGGATATTTTTCAATAACTGGGCTTCATTATCTCTCCAAGTCGGTTCATGTCCTACAGGCTCATGGTTGGGTCTATAATGAGGATTGTAAGGTTCCCGCTGAGGTCTGTAGTCAACCTGAGTTTCTTCGACGTAAGGCGAGGAGGTCTAGATTGTGTGTATATTATCGGGTTTACTAGCCTTTCGATGTTATCGAGGCATTCTCCAGTTTGGCGTCGAAAGTCCGCTAAATCAGTTTGGGTGTTTTGAATTTGCTGAGTAACCGTGACTAATTGACCAACAATGAGGTTTAAAGTCGCTTGAATTTGTTCCGGATCCTTAGGTGGATGTTAAGGGACACTAAGGAAGGGTGAAGGGTTAGAGGACAGCACTTAGACACTAAATGTACTCACCTAAATGCAACTAAATGATGCAGAAATGACAAAAACAGCAAACTACAACAATGGGTTAAGTTGCCTTGATGTTTAGGAGGGTTGCTAGGGTGTAGGCAGCACCTAAACACTAGGTTATACTCACCTAAAGGCCACTAAAAGATGCAGAAAAATTCTGGACAGGAAGATAGCTAAGGTTTAAAATTTTCTAGGTGATGACATGCATGTAGCAATACCTACGAATGAATATGTAGTTCCCTAGGATGAGTTATAGCATAAATGACGCATGCTAGCCATGCTTTGATACCAAATGATGTGATACATGCAAGAAGTTCATGAGAAATTAGCAAGAGAATTTATTACAAGTTAACCAATATAAAATTATGCGTCAAATCAAAGTACGATTTTATAAATTCGTAGTCTTCCACTTGCTTAGGCAAAGAATTGCATGAAGATTAACCAAAACACTCTTAATCAAATACAAATGCAATCATAATATAATAGCTTATAACATAAATATGTAATTTAATAATGAGAGGTTCATCTTGAAGGGTTTCTCACTCAACTACTCTAGGGTTTAACGGATGAAGATGCTCCATGCTAGACTTGAGATCGCCACTAAGAAAAGGGAGTTGAGGAACTTTGTTGTTGGGAAGGTAGCCGGCAGTGGAGGAGGCATGGGATGCCCAATGAGCGTCCACGGTATTCTAGGTTGTTGAAGCTCGATTGTCTCGACGAGGCAATAGATGATGCGGTTGGCGTAGCTTTCCACCGTATCGTCGTACTCCCAATCGGGTTCACAGAAAGGAGTTACGAAAGATGTCTATCTCTCCTTGGGCGTTATAAATAAAGCTGTGGTCGATCTCAGGATCGGCCATACACTATCAGAGAGAAGAAAGGAGGATGTTGTCTTCTTCTTCGGCTTCCAAACATTAGGAGGGTTGGGTCTTCAAGAGGGAAGAGGCACGTGGGAGGGGCGGCTTGGGCAAGGAAAGGTAGAGGTAATGTGAGTTGGGTGAGAGGTGGAGAAATATTTTAGAAAAAAGAAAATTTGATTTTAATTTCAGATTTTGAATTAGAGAGGAAGGGAAAATTAATGCGAATTTAAATCCCCAAATTAGGGCTAGGGGGCCGGCAGTTTTAGGAGAGGATTAGGGGAGCATTAATTGACATTTGAGTTGGATTGGAGAGAGAAAACATGAGGAAGGGGGGGGCCGGCCATGTAGAGAGGGGAGAGAGAGGGAGTTTTGTGTTTAATATGTGGGCCCCAAGGAAATTAATGTGATTGAAATCAAATCTGATTTTAATTTCAGATTTGATTTAAATTGAAATAACTTGCTAATGGGGTTTTACATCTCTAGGAAGGGGCTTTGAAATTCAAAATAGATTGATTGCCAACAAGGATTCTTTCCTAAATAGCATGGAGGTATTTTAGGAAAGTAATTATGGGAAAATTTGAAATTTGAAATTCAAATTAGGTGGACTAGGGATTATGGGACGGCAGGTTGAGCATGTAGAAGGGGAGAAGGGAGGGCAGGCTAGCGGCTGGACTGGTGGCCGGCGGCTTGTGCGGCCTAGGGAAGGGGTGGCAAGTTGGGTGGGGATTTAGGCTTAGGTAGGATGAAAAGAAAGGGGTGAGAATGGTGAGTCTGGCGGGTGGATGGGTTAGGAGAGGGGTTTTGAAGTAGAGGAAAAAGAAAGAGATTGTAGAATCGTGATCCTTGGAATCCACCAAAGATTGACGAGTATTGCTTTCACTCACCTAGAGTCAAGCAAAAAAAACTAAAATTTCATTCATAATTCATCATCCAATACAATAGAGGAGGCCACAATATATAGGCATAAGGGAAAAATACAATGACTCATATGCCCCTGGGGCTACAACTCAAGCAAACTCAAAAGAAAGGGTACAACCGGAAATAATAATTAATATTTGATACGTCTTTCTAAAAGAATCAAAATAAAGACTAAGCATCAGAAATAAAGACTGTGGATCGTAGCCATCGATCTACGACTCCTGCGCTGATATATTCGTCGATAACGTCTATCGATGTCCTCATCATCAACAACTGTAAATTTAATATTGATGAACACGTAACATTATTACTTCCCAATATGGATTGATCCTAAGGATGACCCTTCATGTTTACATGATGTACAATTCATGCTTGATGATACATTACAAGAAAATTTAAATTATGTAATAGAATTATTTGTAACTGACAATGTTGCTGCAAATTACTTGCGGTAGTTTCTTGGATTTCTACCCTAGTTCAGATAAATGGTTATACATGGTTTAAACTTACTCTGCCATATAAACTGCTATGTTAAGCTAATTTGTTGATGACGAATACAATTAATTGAATTTGGTACGTCTTTCTAAAAGAATCGATGGCTCTTATTTGTGTGCACTGATACTCTCTTTTGTGTTCGCTTTATTCCTTTGATTCAATCATTAAAGCTTAAAAATCTGAGGCCTGGTAGTTTCTTACAGAGCATCAAGAAAGGCTCGGGTTAATTCATGAGAAGTACAAAGAAGATTTCAACCATCAGCTTCTGAACTGCAGCAGCACCCTGGAGGAACTAGAAGCACAGAACGTTGAGATTAAAGTAACTTCAGATCGGCAAAGTATGTACACTTATGTTTTATCATCATACAATATAATATCTACTCATAGTATAACATGGAGCCAGCAAAACTATAACTTCAGAAGGTTTCATTGTTGGGCATTCGGCTTGTGAACTGGTCTTACATATCTTATTAGACCAATCAGGCTCCTATTCCAAAACATTTCCTTGTTCATCGTAGATATTTCCTTGGTGAAAACTAGATGATGTCTTCTGATGCAACATTAGACATGCCCATTCGTGGTTAAATGCTGTAGGAACTGTTGCAAGAAATGTTTTGTTGTTTGATGAAAAGTATTTGTAATAATACCTTACAATTATTTTCATAGATTCATAGGCCGACATGCCATTGCAAAGTCTAAGACTAGAACAAAGTTAAAGGAAAAATGAACTTCGTTTATTATCAGGTTTCCTTTACACTACTCACAAGGCTGATTCTTTTGTTTCTTGATGCATGTACAGTGATGTTGAACGGCAAATGCAAAATCTTCGTATTCTGTAAACCACTGATTATTCATTTAACAATAGGGTTTTATATTTTTGCATTGATTTTTTTTGGTAATACATGTGCAGAAGTATTGCATAGGAAGCTTCTTTTGCAGATTGAAGAAACAATGAAAGATCAGTTAAATGTAGCTGAAACAAGCATCACAGCAATCAGAAAGGTAAACTTAGTCTCCAGTAGCCGTTTTTTTTTTCTTCCAGAAACTATATGATGCCCAAAAGTTTCATTACATTATATCATTTTATTTCTAGGAACATCATAACATGATATATCAGTAATAGTTTTATTATATTACATGTTATCAGAATGTAACCTGATGAGCGAGCAAAGCAGACATTGATTTTGTAGGGCACTCATATTATTTTTGCCTAATCCTCGCAGGATGCTAGAAAAAGGTTGAACAGCTTGAAGTTTGCCTTGAAGGAGTGGCTGAGTGACGGAGCAATCAGTTAAGCAAGTTCCTATGCTCGGTATAGCCAAAAGCCTGTAAATAAAGGCCTTGATAAGACCATGTTTTCCACTTTATATAACAACACAAAAGATAGCCAGATAGGTATTAAAAGCTCAGGATCAGCTTTCTTGTATTTCTGTCACCCATATGGTACCTTCAGACTTAATCCAACATAAACATGTTTGTGTGAGTTTTCAATGGACGAACGAATCTTGCTAAGAAAAAAAATATGGATTTTGATCGCATAGTTTCATTTACTTTGGCCATCGCATTCAGGAATTAGGTTAAAAAGAAAATAAAAAACCAGGTCTAGGCCTGGTTTTGGTATTTAATGCTGCATGAAATATGATCATTATAGTTTTAAATGTGCTATCTTAAAGTATGAGTGGTATATTTGCGAATTAGGTGTGTAAGTGAGCCGAGCCAGAGAGGGCCTCGATTGGGGTGCCAGGTTTAAATGTTTTAACATAAGTTGCAGTGAAGATTAATTACTCTAGCTAAAAAAATATTTTCAAGAGTAGGTGTAAGAGTTATTTGTTTTACACAAGAGAAAATAAAAAAAAGTAGGTCATCTTTTTTTATCCACTGGAAAAAGCACAGTCTATGTGCAACGAAGCATCTATACTGTTGCTGGCTCATCGGCCGAGAAACCGGGTGGGAAATTGTGTATGGAGGGCGTGAAACCGAAATTGAGAGGCTTTACGAGCAGTGCGACAGCTCGTTTTTGTGTCGCGACTCAAGCTCGAGCTCGATATTTGACTCACGAGTCAAGCTTGAACACCTCTTGATTTGAGCTCTACTCAACTAAATTTGCACCTCTAGTGCTAATTGGAATGTACAGCTGGTATTACATTTTTCACCAAAAAAGGAGAAGACTTATGCAATGTTCTGCACAGCAAATTTAATAGAATCCCTTGCGGGTTATGAGCCGAGGCACTGAATTTACCTTTAAGTGGAGAGTGCTTGATGGTCTTGTTTATTGAACTGAGTTGCCAACTTATTGAAGTACAGTTGACCTGCGAAAAGAGCAAAAATTAGCGACTAAAATGACGGTCGACGGGCGTGATGCCCCTCTTGAAGGGTCAAACAACCTCCGATTGTCAAACGGGTTGCGCTATTGCAATTGGAGCATCGAATTCATATAAGAGTGAGCTCCTTGCAGTCAAATTGGATGAAAACAGTTGAAGTCTCCAATTAGTATTCAAAATTGACACGCGACATTGTCCATATGACTTTCGATCGTAAAACAGTCTTTGTCGTTGTGTTCGGAATATTGACAATACTAAGCCTGCTATCCGTGTCTTCCACCTCACCAACGTCACAAACTACAACATCACACCCTATTGTATACATTTCTTGTTTATTCAAACAAACATAGAAGCAATAAATGCCTTCACCCTTCCATCGTGAAACTTATCATCTCTAGACATGTTCGCTTTGATGAAAAAATCTTCCCATATGCCAACCAAACCTCCACACCTATAGACAATGTACAACCATCTACTCATCAATCCAATCTACTGCTACCTACGTCTCATATCCCTCCTACTACCAGTACTACCACAATCTCCAATTCACTCCCAATACCTCAACAAACCATCACTCAGCAAGTTCAGTCCACATCTCCACAAGAAGGCTTCCAAAGCTTTAAATCTATTCATACCACCAATCTTAAACCTCCTACACCCATCTCACCACCTCATCACCCCATGATAACCCGATCTTAAATGGGTTCAATCAAACCTGAACAAACTTTAAATCTCAGCCACCGAATCCTCCCCACTTTTGATCCCACCTGCTTCTCTGAAGCTAACAAGCATCCACATTCGCTCAAAGCAATGGCTGGATAATTCTTAGCTCTGCAGTAACACAACACCAGGAAACTTGTTTATTCAATCACTTTAGCTCATAAAGAGCAAATGACTGGTCAGGAATATCACTAGGATTCATTTTTAATCTGTTTCTCGTTAATAAGAACGTGGCATGTGTCATCTAACTGGTTGTGTTGCCGCCAGAGCCCTACACGGGGTCCTGGTTAGGTACCCATTGGGTACCCACGCTCTGCGTTAGCGTGCTTTGCTCACCCATGCCCACCTATGGTGACTTTCAGGATGGCACCCACCCACTTTTTACGCTTCTTGAATGCAGTCTGCCATGGATTAATGGCCTTGAGTTTTTTGTCATTTTCTCTGACTGCAAACTTTCAAGTCACATATCAAAATTTATCGTGGTCATGACACGGTTCAGTGTTGCGCACTATATAGTAAGGATTACTGTAATATACTGCATGCTTATGATAATTAGTAATGTAAATTAGTTTGTCCTCTGATGTTGAGTACCCACCCATACCCAACCACGAGGCCATGGGCGTACCCATACCCACCCATGCCCATTGGGTATGGGTGAGTACGTGGGTGGGTGTGGGTATGGGCACCCAATGTAGGGCTCTGGTTGCCGCCAAATAGCACCATAGATAAACGATTATGACCGGATAATTTTGCAGCCAAATTGCACCATTAAATTACGATCATGTTCAGAGCCCGTATGTTCCCCAACGGTGTTAAATTGTTGAGCAATAAATCAATAGGATATGACCGATAGAGCACAAAGACCTATGTTAGCTAAGGTGGATTTAAATCCCCCACTTAAACAAATATTCACCCCAGATCTACAAAGTACCATTGGACGAAACAACCCATTGCTACTAACAAGGATCCTTCTACCAGGTTAGGTCAATTACCTCCTCTAACTAAGTAAACTAGGGACTATGATGACCCGGGACGACGGAGCCACGGGATCTTGATCGGATCTATAATCATTCCCCCCACTATTCGCTCTAAATGCAAGGTGATGAATTTCTAAATTTTAAATATTAAATTTTCAAATATCAAATCACGTTACTACTATATGCTAGATACTATGTATATGTTTGACGACTAGCTTAAATCGAAAGTTCTCTCTTGCTACCAGGAGGGTAATTAACTGCAGGGGCTTGCGCCTATAGGAAACTTGAACTCATATCATAAAATTCTCAAAAAATGAGGGCAAAATCTCTAGGTAGTGTTATTTAAAACATAATCTGCCTTTTGAAATTATGCCTCAGAACATACTTGTTAAAACTCTCTTGATGACCCAAAAGAAAGAAAGGAGTCTCGGAGAGGCCTGGGCGCAAAGTTTTGGAGCCCACAAGTACTTAGGTAAATATTATAAAAAAACAAATGTATAATAGTATCAACATCATAAAAAAATGATAAATGTATTTTTTTGTATCATTCACGCTTCTAACATTATTTTTCTATTATAAGTAGTATAAGTTGTAAGCTAACCTTTTGAAAAGCCATGTGAACATCATCTTTTTGTTCTTACAACACCAGTACAACTACCAAAACTTCCTATCTTCTGAGCATTTCACTACATTAAATGCCCTCTTAATTCTAAAATACCAATCTTCACCTAAAGTTAGTTGTACTGGTGTTTCAAAAGGTTTCTCTCACCTTGCATTATTGTTTGCTTGAAACTTTAACCATTAATAAAATTATGTTCTTGGTTTGATATATGATTAAATAATATAATAAAATATTCTATGATAAGCTCAAAATGATCTTTATCATGTGCTGGAGGCTCGGAGCAAGGGGAAAGAGCCACCATTAATTTATATCATAACAAGCATATTCATATTATCATGTAAACTGAAAATTCAGGGTTTAAATAATATAGTATAACTTCCCTCTTGCTTCAAGTAACATATAGAGATATGTGATTTAATTGTCATGAAGGTACATCTTGATTTCTTGAAAAGCTTTTCCAATATCAAAATTGATGAAAAGCATGTCTCTCATCGGATGGTGATGGCTCCCATCTAATATTCCTATCTATAAGACATGCTTAGTTGTTTGGACCCTGCTGAGTTTGATCTGTCCAACATGAAACATATAATGAAAAGATGAGTCAAAATCAATGAGCATGGAGGCACAGTCAGATAGGCAAATCTTAATGTAGGCTAGGATAAACTTTTAAGACATACTAGAGCTAATAATCCTCGCTCTAGAGGTTCAACAAGTCAGCCAAATATAAAACAATCCAAAGTTTAGTCAAGCAAAGTCTCACGCACCAAGTTAATGACACTTTCATCTAGATGACCATTATTTACTTGGCAAAAGTACACTTTTCGAGATAACCTTACATTCATTAAGATGATGTTTCGGTCAACTAGCGAGATAGATGTCAAATTGTATTCAAATGATGGCAAAAAATGGCTAAAATGTGGTCAAAATTTCATGATCTAACTTAGATTCCACTATCACTACACATAGAGAATGCCCAAATGTTTCTAGACACTACTATATAGATGATATAGAAAAACAAATACATCGCAATACTTACTATGATATAATGACCCATAACATACATGGGATAAAAATGAAAACCCTAACTATAAAGAAATTGAAAATACATCAAAACATCTCTCAAAATACACATGATACTATATCTTTGAACTCACTGGTGATGACTTTGAAGATCCCCTGCATCACAAATGTTTGACAACTTAAACAATGTGCAACAAATTATTAAGACTCATTCACATATCTTCCCAATACCAAAATAAATAAATAAAATAATATGAAGACCCTTTATTTGTTCTCTAAACTTTTTCATCAGTGCATTAGCATAAAACTCAAAGGTGATGGTGAGTTTTCTTGCTTAAAATCAAATTGATTCTTCAATAATAACATACTTTTTCTTAGTCCATGTGATAAACAGTGGATTGATATTTTAGGAAATATTTGATTTTCTTTTAAATTGGTTTGAACTGGTCTAATTTAATTAAAGATAGGCTTGTTTGGGGGTGGCTTGTGCAATTCTCTTTTTGTTGTTATAATTTTTCTTCAAGTTGTTTTTTCGGTCATAATTTTTATTACTCTGCTTTTTTAAGAACATCTTTTCCGAAAAAATTTTGAGAAAAATAGTGACAATGCAATTTAATATTTTCATCCAAAAAGATACTAAAGTATTTTGCTAGCTATTTTTCCTATTTAAAAAAAAAACACACGTCCCAAATGAAGCCATAACATTTTTAATGTAAATTTACAACCATGTAGTTATGATAATTTAACACTAAGGATCACCATGGAGAATAAGTAAATTGCCTTTTAAATTTAATATATGCCATGCAACAACCAGTTATACTATTTTCTTTGCTTGGACACCACTTTTTGATTTTGAACTTGTACAAGTTGCTTAATCTTGCAAGTTATAAGATCCTGGAGGATTTACAGACGTTAAATTTTCAAACTGGTGTTTTAATTAGCTGCTATCTTATGTCCAAATAATTTATTAGACTAACATTGTGACGAAATACTTACTAGAACCACGAAGGGACCTTCCTTTGGCATATTTTACCCAGCATTTGTTAAAAACCTAGAGAAGGTGCTCCAAATCAGATAGACAGATACCATCCCCCATACCAACTCAATGGTCTTTTTCCTTTCAGGTAAAAAGCTTCTCCCTTTTCCAACATTCCAGGGGGCTAAACTTCGAGAATTTTCTTTGCATCATAACAAAAAGCACCTCAGCTTTGCATCCGATATTGCCCTATAAATCCAATCATTCGGCAGAAAGCCAGCAACTTGCATCTCATTGAGCAGAACCTCAGCTTCCTTAAACTTGCCCTGCTTGCAGAGAAGTCGAATAGTTAGACCATAGCTTGAGATATTTGGGACCATTCCATTCCCTGTCATTTCCCTAAGCAACTGAAGAGATCTGAAGGTGCTACCTTGACTACAATATCCAAAAATCAAAGTGTCATAGATCACATTGCTTGGCTTCAATCTCATGCTAATCATTGACCGAAACAGATTCATGGCACTCTTCATACTCCCTTCAGTGCAGAGACCGCGTATGAGAACACCAAAGGTGTAAACATCGCCTTGAAGACCAAAACGCTCCATTGAGTGATAAATCCCAAAGGCCATTTCCATGTCTCCATTCCTAGCAAAGGCATCAATGAGGATGGTGTACGTTGCTTGGGTAGGATGTAACCCCCTCTCCTTCATTTCCTTGTAAGCAGAGGCTGCTCCAACTAAATCAGCAGATTTTAAGAATGCTGCAATCAGAGTATTGTAAGTGATGGCAGTTGGAGAAGATCCGCTTGCCTTCATTTCATCTAATAGCTTCATCGCAGTAGGCATACTCCCTGCTTTGCAAAAACCCTTCATTAGAATATTAAAGGTAATGCTGCTCGGCCTTATTCCCACTTCCTTCATATTACCCAGCAAATCCACAGCATCTTTCAACCTCCTCAGCCTGCAAAGCCCACCAATCAAAATATTGTAACTGACAACGTTTGGCACAAACCCACTATGGCGCATTTCATCAAACAGGTTGAAAGCAGGATCCAAATTGTAATCTTTACAGTACTCCGCCATCAAAGAGTTGTACGTGTACAGATTGGGAACAACTCCGACGCATTTCATCTCATCATAAAGCTGTATTCCCTCCTTCTTAAAACCTTGTCTAAAGTACCCATTCATCATTGCAGTGTAAGTGAATTCATTCGGGGCCAGACCAAGTTCTCTCATTCTAATAAACAACTGCCTTGATTCCTCCAGACTGCCATTTTTGCAGTGGCCGTCGATTAGAGTTGTGAACATGACGAGGTTCGGCACTCCGCCGCGGCGCTCGAAGAGGGTTTGAAGTTGAAGAGCCTCATCCAGCTGGCCAGAATGGCATAACCGCGAGATGACAATGTTGAAGCTGTAGGCGTCGAGGGGTATTCGCCCGTTGGCATATGCGTTGTGGAATAAGGTGAGGGCTTTGGGTAAATGGGAGGTGGAGAGTAGGAGGAGGAGATTGTTGAAGGTGTTGGAAGTGGGCACGAGGCCGCAGTCGAGCATGCGGTGGAGGTAGAAGAGAGAGGGCTCTGGTTTACGCAATTTGATGTGGGCGTCTATCATGAGATTGAAGATTTGAGAGGAAGTGGACGACTGAGGTGAGGAGAATTTTTGGCTTTTGATCATTTTTTGCATTAAATGAAATGTGCGACTGGCTTGCTGCATTCTCTGCTACTACTCGGCTTTCGTTTTTTTTTTCCTTCTTTAATAGTAAATCTTCGTCACCGTCTTCCTGAAAAGAACCTACATGGCTACAGCCTACATGTGAACGTAGAATATTTTTTATTATTTTTTTATTTATTTATTTTTTAACCTACATGTGAACGTAGAATTTATTATAGACGTAGTTAAATTTCATTTTCTAAAATAAAAATATTTATTTTTTCTATTTTATAGAAATTATATTATTTGCATGATTAAAATTATAAGTATTAAATTTGTGTTCTTTAACGATCAATACTAACATCACTAATATACTGCTTGGATGCATCCATTGGATGGGAATGGGATGGCCTTTTCTCTTTATGAGTTCTCATATTCGATCTATAGGTTATTATTTTTAACTGCAATCCCACTTTATCAAATAAGAACGAATTATATATATCTTATCATTCTTAAGTTATTTAATTCATTATAATTATTTTTTTCTCTTATTTATATAGATGCATGCTTTATGCTTATATCAAATATGTTATTCAATTTAGACAAAATTAATCATGATTTTAATTTTCTAATCATAGCATAGTATTTGACAAGTCAATATTACGTTTTTAATTTAGGGTTTTTTCTTTTATTATTAAAATAAGTTATATTTTCATATTAAATTCATAATAATATCTCATAATATGACTATATACACATATATCGAATATTCATCCCCTATTTGCTGACTAAGAGGTCCACAACAATAATGAAAAACATAAAAAGTAAAATTAACTACCATTAATTATCAAGGTAGATTTAAATTTTAAGTAATATATATAATCAAGTTAAATGGAAATTTTAAATTTATAAAAAAATTTATCAATTGTTTTTATAATACAAAATTTTAGAATATAAATATAATTTGATTAACATTTTTTGCAGGACAGAACATTCGCATGGTAGAGAGATATGGGGTTTAGCATCCTAACTTTGTACGAAGATCCAGCACACACACAAATAAGAGAGAGCGGTGCAAGGGTCATAAGAGACATCAGGATTTTTACGTGGAAACCCTAAAAAGGAAAAAAAAAATCATGGGGTCTTATTTAGTTAATATGATTCCACTGTTGATTATTATTGGTTACAAAGGATGCTCTTCATCGAGGGAAGGTGTTAACACAGCGTGTAAATATACATCATTTAGAGCATGTCACATGGTTGGAGTTCAAAAAATCCAATGGCATGAAAGATGTTTTCAAGAGAAGATTGGCATATTCATTTGATCAGTAGGATCGTAGTTGGACGATAGAGGTCATCAGAGGGACCTTAATCGAAGGATATCAGATGGACCGTAGTCAGGCGATGGAGGTCCAAGGGATTGTAGTTGACTGGCGACAGAGGTTGGAGGGATCGTAGGCGGCAAGAAACGATGGTCAGAGGGATCGTAGTTAGGAGACAGAGGTTGGAGGGACAATAGTTGGGAGAAGAAGGTCGAAGGGATCATAGTCGGGTAATTGAGATTAAGGAGATGCTTGTCAAGTGATAAAGGTTAGAGGGATTGTAGTCGATGGGCGATGGAGGTCGGAGGGTCGTATTCAGTGGGAGATGGTGGTCGGAGGGACAATAATTAGACCGTGAAGGTCGGAGAGACCATAGTCGGGAGACTAAGGTCAAGGGGACCATTGTTGGGTGACAAAAGTTAGAGGAACCATAGTCGGGATATGGAGGTCAAATGCACTATAATCAGGGGACAATGGAGGTAGAGGGATTGTAGTCGGGCGATGGAGGTCGAAGAGACTGTGGTCGGACGATGGTGCTTTGAGGGCCATAGTAGGCGAGCGATTGTGGTCTGAGGAGTATAGTTGGGCAAATGAGGTTAGAACAACCATGGCAAGTGAAGGAGGTCAGAGGGATCATAATTGGGCATTGGAGGTCAGAAGGATAGTAATCAGGTGATGGAGGTCAGAGGTACCGTAGTTAGGCGTAGAGGACGGACAGATCATAGTTGAGCAATGGACGTCAAAGAGATCGTAGTTGGGCTATGGTTGTCTGAGGGCCGTAGTTTACTGATAATGGTCTGAGGACTGTATTCGACAAGCAACGAAGGTTAGAGGGATCATATTTGGGGGGGGGTTTTTTCTCTTATTTATATAGATGCATGCTTTATGCTTATATCAAATATGTTATTCAATTTAGACAAAATTAATCATGATTTTAATTTTCTAATCATAGCATAGTATTTGACAAGTCAATATTACGTTTTAATTTAGGGTTTTTTCTTTTATTATTAAAATAAGTTATATTTTCATATTAAATTCATAATAATATCTCATAATATGACTATATACACATATATCGAATATTCATCCCCTATTTGCTGACTAAGAGGTCCACAACAATAATGAAAAACAGAAAAAGTAAAATTTACTATCATTAATTATCAAGGTAGATTTAAATTTTAAGTAATATATATATATAATCAAGTTAAATGGAAATTTTAAATTTATAAAAAATTTTATCAATTGTTTTTATAATACAAATTTTAGAATATAAATATAACTTGATTGACATTTGTTGCATGTCAGAACATTCGCACGGTAGAGAGATATAGGGTTTAGCGTCATAGCTTTGTACGAAGATCTAGCACACACACAGATAAGAGAAAGGGGTGCAAGGGTCATAAGAGACATCAGGATTTTTACGTGGAAACCCTAAACATGAAAAAAAAATCATGGGGTCTTGTCTAGTTAATATGATTCCACTATTGATTCTTATTGGTTACAAAGAATGCTCTTCCTCGAGGGAAGGTGTTGACACAACGTGTAAATATACATCATTTAGAGCATGTCACATGGTTAGAGTTCAAAAAATCTAATGGCATGAAAGATGTTTTCAAGAGAACATTGGCATATTCATTTAATCAATAGGATCGTAGTCGGACAACAGAGGTCTTCAGAGGGAACTTAATCGGAGGATATCAGATGGATCGTAGTCAGGAGACGGAGGTCAGAGGGATTGTAGTTGATTGGCGACAGAGGTTGGAGGGATCGTAGTCGGTAAGAAACGGTGGTCAGAGGGATCGTAGTTAGGAGATAGAGGTCGGAGGGACTATAGTTGGGGGAAGAAGGTCGAAGGGATCATAGTCGGGTAATTGAGATTAAGGAGATGCTTGTCAAGTGATAAAGGTTGGATGGATTGTAGTCGATGGGCGATGAAGGTCGGAGGGGTCGTATTCAGTGGGAGATTGTGGTCGGAGGGACAATAATTAGACCGTGAAGGTCGTAGAGACCATAGTCGGGAGACTAAGGTCAAGGGGACCATTGTTGGGTGACAAAAGTCAGAGGAACCATAGTCGGGATATGGAGGTCGAATGCACTATAATCAGGCGAAAATGGAGGTAGAGGGATCGTAGTCCGGCGATGGAGGTCGAAGTGACTGTGGTCGGACGATGGTGCTTTGAGGGCCATAGTAGGCGAGCGATTGTGGTTCGAGGAGTATAGTTGGGCAAATTAGGTTAGAACAACCATGGCAAGTGAAGGAGGTCAGAGGGATCATAATTGGGCATTGGAGGTCAGAATGATAGTAATCAGGTGATGGAGGTCAGAGGTACCGTAGTTAGGCGACAGAGGACGGAGAGATCATAGTTGAGCAATGGACGTCAAAGGGATCGTAGTTGGGCTACGGTTGTCTGAGGACCGTAGTTTAGTGATAATGGTCTGAGGACTGTATTTGACAAGCAACGGAGGTCAGAGGGATCATAGTGGGGGCGGGGGGCACTATGATCGAAGGGACTATAGTCGAGTGATGGATATCAGAGGGGGTGACTGAGGTCAAAAGGACCATAGTCAATGGGTGACAAATGGTAGGCGAAGATTCACTTGTGGCAGCTTGACGGAGGTCTGACAGTAATGGTCAGGCAAAGATCAGGCCGATGGTAGCCTGATGGAGGTCCGACAACGATGGTCTGATAGAGATCCAACAACAGCGATCAGGCTGAGGTCTGGAGGTGGCGGTGACTAGATGGACGCCCAACGACAGTCAGCCAGTGAAAGCCCGGTGGCGACTATCAGGCTACAAGGGTTCACCGTCCAGGTTTCGCAGTTGATGGTGCTCTGGGATTCATGCCTTAGAGTTATCTGGAATCTCTAACCTAAGGTCCAAGCTCCCTTCTCCCAAAAGGCCCCTTCATATATAGAGTATGGGTCTATTAATATATATTTGAGAGTGACATGTTCCATAAAATATGGAGAAGATCCAGGACAAATTCAAAGTGCTCAATCAGACGGCTCATATTGATCATCTCGATCGTAGAGTCTTCACTCATCATTTAAATGTCTTAATGATGTTAGAATCAAGCGATCCTAGACTAATCTCGTCAAGCCGCTCGATTTGACTATAAGCATGTCAGATTTAGATATCATTTGGCTATCCAATTAATGTACTAAAGCTTCCAAATTTGCTTTAAGCCTTTGATTTGAGCACATGTGAGCTCGGATTGGACCAATTTAGTATCATTGGGTTCGTTTGATCAAGATGTTCAGTTTGACTATAAGTTTGCAATGATTACAGTTTGGATGATCCCAAATTTAATTTCAAAAATTTCTAACTTAAATATACCTCAAGATTTGTTCTCGATTAAGATGATTTTTAGTGACCCATCAATATTAATTTAATTTTACGTGCAAGTGCTTCTAGGGATAACCCTCAAATGGCCATTAACACACCTCGCATGCAAATGACATCAAAGCCCACGCAACCTGTTCTCCAGAGTGCAAATCACAAGCCAAATCTTAAAATATATCTTATTTACAAAATTAATATTCAAACTTTTAAAATGACTTGACAAAATTTTGCATTTGTACCACACCTAAATTATTAAGAATTTAATATTTCATTGAAAAATAAATAGGTTTTTTATTGCACTCTTTAAATTTTAAATAATATTATTATTATTGCCTGCTTGAAAATTTATGACAATATAGATATAGTTTTCATGTCTTAGCATTTCACCAAGATCTAACATACACACATATAAATAAGACTACAATAAACATCATAAATTTAATATGAAAAAATAATAAAATAAAATAAAAATAAAAAACAAGACACTTTGCTTAAATGAAGTGATCCACTTTGCGATTAAGTTATAAGAGTATATTATTCCCCTTAATCGGACAAAATGGGATTACAAAGTATATAACACAAGTTTGTAGTCCTATAAACTTGGGAGAATGCTAGAGATGCAATAGTTAGATGATATTAATTGGGTGACATTAGTTGAACAATAATGATAGTCAAGTGATGTTGGTTGGAATATGTTGATTTAATAATGCTTAGTTGAGCATTCATAGTCAATCAACGACAATCGAACAATGACAATCATATGATACTAGTCAGATAATGGTAGCTATACAACAAAGAACATTCAATGATAATTAGGAAATGATGATCAGATAATAATATTCAGGCGATGGTTGTGGTCTGTTTATTGTCTCCTGACTATCATTGATCGTTGATGGATGATGATCGGATAACCGTAGCTGGATGAATATGCAGGTGGTCGTCAGTGTCAAATGTCAATTAGAGTTTTAAAATTATTCAGATATCTAAGCTCTCTCTAAATTCAAATCTAGGCCCCTTCATATAGAAAATAAAAAATGATTTATAATACTTTTAGAGTTGACATTTTTTAAAATTTAGCAAAATTTTCATAGCACTTTATTAGATGGCTCATATGAAAAATTTTAATCATCAACTAATTTTTTTAGCATTTAAGTGCTTTAATAACATTAGAATCAAGTTATTATAGGGGTTGTTTGGTATCAGATTTGCAGCCAGATTTACATCGGATTGACGATAAATCTTGCCAAACAGTTTTCACGCAATAAATCTGAGTTCCATGTAAATCCTGATTTATGGATTTACAACGTAAATTCAAGATTTACTAAATCTCACTATTCAACGAATTTAACAAGATTTACAGATTCGCGAAGTTCTTCCATGAGCGAGCTCCCATCTTGAAGGAGGAGGCAAAGATGATTACGCGAGTGAGCTCCTTGCCATGACTTCCGATCCGACATCTTCGAACTTCGAAGGAGGTGAAGAAGTTGCTTTAGCGACAATCAAAAATAATTAAAGAAATGATGAAGAGGAAAAGCGATAGCAAAAAAACACGGGAAGAAGATGAAAAGCAACCCTAGATAGCCTCCTAAATTAGAAATTAATTTAAGTTAGCTTTATTAATATAATTTAAATATTAATAATTAATTAGATTAACTAAACAATTAATAGTGTAATTAAGTAATCTAATTTATCTTAATTAATTGACTAGTAGTATAATTGGTCATTAAAGTAGTTTAATTAATATAATTTAAAATAAAAATAAATTATATACTTAATATTGTAAATAATAATTAAAAAATAAATTAGTAGTTGAATATTAAATATGATAAGTAGATTAATTTGGGTTTACAAATATAATTAGATAATTATTAGGGTTTACAAATATAATTAGATAATTATTAATATGATAAGTAATTTGATAATTAACACCTAAGTAATTAATTTGATAATTTTTAATAACTAAACTAGCTCCTAATTATATTATTTATCATTATAACTTATTAAAAGTAATTAAAATTGCAGTTAATGAATAACTCATATTTAACATGCAAATTAAATTCAAAATACACTAAATTTAATTTATAAATGAACCATCCACCTTAAATCCTTGATTACATTGTCAGACAGTTTCTTAAGATTTATTAGGATTTAATATAGTCATACAAAACATTTTTCAGGATTTAACACCTTCATGATTTACTAAATTCGGATTTACATGATTTACTAAATCCGACTAAAATTAAATCCTACTTGTTGTCAAAGAGCCCCTTAGTCTTGTTTGATTTGTCTCATCGAGCAATTGGTTTTGACAATATCCGTGAAAGCTTCAGAGACCAATTGATTCTTTAATTAATGTTTTAAATTTTCTAAGTATTATTCAAGAGTGCTTCATTTGGGCTTAATTGGATTTGGATTAAATCATCTTTGGTGTTATGATATTTATTTCATTAAGACGCTCAATTTGATTATAAATTTGTTGAATTTAGTCTTAAGATAATTTTGTATTTTATTATGAAAATTTTCAAATATTTTACTGCATCAAGTTTTGTGTTCTGAATTTTTTTAGAGCATACCAATCATAAATCAAAATAAATAAGTATTATTATTTTGGACACACAAGAAGTTATCCCAAAATAAGAAAAAATGAGCATTTCAGGCAAAAGTTCAGTGGAAGTATTGCTAAGTAGTAGAATATTTGTCAAGGTTCCTAAAATTCGATCAGATCGGTTGGTTCAACCGGTTGAATTGTGTACTAGCTGGCCGATCGGTCCGAGTTCATCACAAAATAGGAATTGCACAAAACCGGCATAGAACGGTCGGCCCGGCAGTCGGACCACGAAATTGGGGAACCGATGCCAATTTTCAAAAATCGGTTGGTTCAATTTATGAGGTTAAAATAGCAAATAAAAACCTAATAGAACTCTATTCCTTCCTGTATCCCGCCGTTGCACTTGGTTTTGTTTGAACATCTCGGCCTCTCGAGTCTTTAGCCTCTTTGTGTGTTTGTCAACTCGATGCCGGCTAAGATGACGAGGACATTGTTCGGTTATTCCTCTCCGGCATCGCATTCCTTTCTCCTATTTGCTTCAAATCTAAACCATGAAATGTAAGTTTTTGAAAACCCTAATTTTTCTAGGTTTTGTTTTTGAATGTTTGAGTTGAAAAGCATTTGGTATGAGCTTTTTGTATGTTAGAATTGAGATTTAGTATTTGGATTTGATTTGATATTAGGATTTGATTTTATTCTTGAAAACCCTAATGAACTGAATGCAAATTTTAACGAAGTTATCTCTACCAAGTAAAGTAAAAATACTAAATTTTAGCGGTTTTGTACAAGCTTTTTGTGTTGAGCTTTTTATGTTTGAACAAGGGTTTGATATTACTACAAGTTTTTTAGGGTAGATGAAATTCATTAGATATATAATCTTATTATGTAAAAATACTAAAATATTTGTTTTGTTTACTTGTTTCATTGGTTGTAAATAAAATTAAATATTTATTTTTTCTACTTGATTGAAAATAAAATAGTTGAAACACCTAATCTTTAATTTGAATTATAAAAGAAAGAGAAGTGCATTCAGATTCATTTAATTTTAAAGATAAAATAGTATTCATCCTTAGTTTGATGTTAGTCTAAATAAGGAGTTGAGTTTCTAATTTCTTCTTTTAGTTGATTTTAATAGAGTTTGCTTTTTAAATTTAGGGTTTAGGGTAATTGATTAACATTTCCTTCTATTGTAGTGATTTAGAATGGATCCTTCAAACAGTTAATATGTATCTTTTGCTCATGGCATGCGATAGAGATTAGATATTGCTTCGAATCATTTTAACAGTTTCACATATTACAAATGTTAGAGAAAGAATTGAAGACGACATGCATTCCTTAACATCCAACACATAATAGAGCTCGATAAAAGGTATGCATTCCTCCACTAATACAATGTCATTTGGTCATCCTGTGTGAGAACCGAGAGCCATAGGATGGTCGGACCCCCTCGTGCAGGAATCTAGAGTCGCAAGGTGTGTTGTTTGGTGATGCTTTTTGAATTACAATTACTCTTCATTTATTAATTTATGCTTAAGTTATTTGTGAAATATTTTTTTATGTTTTATAGACTCACTTAATGTCGCATTTGTATTATGTATTATTTGTTTATGTTTTACAAACTTAATTGATGCCACATTTAGGTGTTTTGATGAGTTTGATATGAAAATAGATTTTAGATTAAAGGTATTAGATGACAATTAGTCATTCATTTTATAATTTTTAATAATATTATTATTTATTACATAATTCAGTTCGACCTCAATTTTATTGGTCGAACCGTGAACTTCTCCTTTTTTCGATTCATTGCCCGATCCGATTCTCAAAGTCTTGACTTTTTTATATAAATAGCAAGAAATAATTTTAATTATTAATTATTAATTATCCTGTAATACCAAAATTGCTACATTTCCCATGAATTTTTATGTGAAGAGATTGCATTAATATTATTTATTATTATTATTTTTTTATTTTTGGAACTAGCCCCGCCACATGCAATTATTAAAACTACTTATCAAGTAGCAGAATATTTATCGAGAAAATTAAAAAGCAAAATGGTATTACAGTAATTCTTTTGTTGGGTGTTGCCGTGTTGCGGCTTCGTTCTCAAGACTGGATGTCTGGCTCCTTGTCACTGTCCAGCCGGCGTGTGGAATAAAGGTTCGCATGCCTTCACCCCCTTTGTTTTGTGTGTATTCTGATAAAATTCCGGAGGAAGAAATCAAAGGCGGGATATCAGAGTAGGGATGGGATCCGGATCGTTGATCAAAGTTTTAGCTAAGAACTTTGACGTTCTTGCCGGGTATGAAAGCTCACTGTAGTGTTAAAAGTTTATTCCTTCAAATATTTAATGTTTTAGATGTTTTGTAAACTAATGATAATTTTTGAAATTGAGGCCTTGAGGGAAAGAAATATGTTCTTTTTTCCCCAATTCAGGTTGTTTTTTTGTAGAATTTTAATGTTTTGTTTCCTCGCATTCGGTTTGTATGAGACAAACCTTAAGATCACTTAAGCATGGGTTTGTGTTGAGAAATCTTCTTAGGATCTCTGGAGCATTGCCGGAAGGGACTTTTTTTTCTTCTTCTAGTTATCGATTTTCTTGTTTTATTTTCCTTATTTAGAAATAAATTTGCATTTCCTTGAGTAAAAAATTTCAAACTGCGAACTGTTTCTAATTTTGTGGGGATTAATTGGGGGCACTGTTTTTCCAGTGTTGACTAGAACGTGATTATGATGGCTGGTCACTTTTTTGAATATTCGAGATACTCGCCTGTTTGAGGAGCGTCAGTGATGCCGTTTTGAGGATGATAGTGGGCTTGCCTGGGTTATCCACCTGGTTTGTTAAGGTTTATTATGGATTATGTGATAGTGAACTATGAAGTATGGATAGTTCATAAAGGCTTCTTTGTCCACGTCAACTACTCCCCAACATGTGTCTGATTCACTGAGGATTATGTTTGATATATTATTTTTTTTCAATAAATAGAGTTAGGCATGACAAGGGCCAGAATGATCAGAATGTCCTTTGTGAAATATTATAAATAGCTTCATTTAATTCATTTTGCTAAAATCTTTCATTTGTCAATGGCACTAGAATCCTCTAAAAAAGTCCCAAATTGATATCCTCTACAAAACCTGCATCGTTGTCCTTTACACCGCCTGCTTCTTCAGGATTTGTTGTGCTCTCTGTAGATATTCCTTCAAGTCTGCCAAAATCCGGTCTCTTTCTCCCTAGTATTGCTCCACTGATGACACTGGTGAGTTGTCATGCCCATAATATATCATATGGGGTGGATCCCTCCCATATAGAATTTTAAGTGATGTTGTTTAGGCTGTTGTATGATATGAAGTGTTATTCCAATATTCCGTCCAGGCTTACCATTTGGCCCAAATCTTTGGTGTATCTAATACAAAACAACGTAAATAAGTGTCCACATTGCGATTTTCCACCTCCATCTGACCATCCGTCTTGGGGTGGTAAGTTGTACTACTCTTTAGGATAGTCCCCTGCATCTTGAATAACTCTCTCCATAAGTGGCTCAGAAAGACCTTATCCTGATCAGACACAATGGACTCGAATATGCCATGCAAATGTAGAACCTCTCTAATGAATGCGGCTGCCACCGACACCGCGGTGTAAGGGTGGCGTAAGGGAAATGAAATGAGCATATTTTCTCTATCTGTCCACCACCACTAGAATCACAATAAACCCATATGATCTAGGTAGACCCTCAATGAAATCAATAATCACATCTTCCCACACCTTCTCGGGTAATGCTAACGGCTGTAGAAGACTACCTAGATCCCTCACCATGGTTTTGAGAGAAACCCTAGTTTTGGACAGACTAGGATCCCCCTTGATTCTCACCTTCCTCCCTCTCACCATGAATTTCATAGTCAATGCTTTCCAGTCCACCTTAGTTTCCCCCAATGTCTATAGCCACTTCATGCCCAAAATTACATATATGCTCCATAACTCTAAGGGAAGAAAATCCTCCTTCACCTGGATCACCATCAACCCTAAGCAGATGCCTTTACTCTTCTTCATCTTCATCATTCCCATCATCATCCCAAAACAACTCGTGTCAACTAGCTTCAGCCCCAATCGGTCCACCACCTGGTTGGAGATGAAGTTGTGGGTTGCCCCACTGTCCATCAGAACTATCACTGATTGTCCTCCTATATGTCCCCTCACCTTCATGGTTTGATTTGAGGTAAACCCCACCACTCAGTTTAGGGAGACCTCCACCACATCTAGGTGCAAATGCTCCTCCTCCTCAAGAGTCCCCTCCTCATCACAGACTGTAAGTACCTGCAGCGAACAATCCCTGCAGCAGTGGCCTGATGCAAAATTTTCATCACAATGGAAACACAATCCCCTAGCCCGCTTCTCTTGAACTTCTTCCTCAGTTAGCTGCTTGAAATTTTCCTCTGGTTGTGTTCTCAATCGCCTATCCTTGGGTACTTCTCTCTAAATGGGCACAGGTTGTATCTTTGGTGCCAAAAAAGTAGTCGTCGTCCGATATGAAGCTTGCAAATTGTTTCCGTTGTTTCTTCTCTCAAGTGAGCTTTTGTCCTCCACCAACTGGGCTAGCTCCATAGCCTCCCCCAACCCTCGTGGCCTCAATAATCGAACAACAATCCTAATGTTTGGCTTGAGTCCCTTCATGAAATTTCCCTCCAACACTGTCTCAGAAAGCCTCCTCAATTGGTTAGAAAGGTACTTAAACCTCTCCCGATAATCCATCACCGCCCCCTTCCTGAGCTAGAGCAAAAAACCGCTCGTAAAAATCTCCTTCCCGACCGGTTCGAAAACGTTCTAATAATTATCTTTGAACTCCCTCCACGATCGAATTGGTTCTCTCATTTCTCTCCACTGATACCAAGATAAGGCCTTCCCCTTAAAGCATAAAGCCACCGCCATCAGTCTCTCTTCCTCCGTCAGCCCATTTAATGCAAAGTATATCTCCACGCTATAGATTCACCCATGAGAATCTTCCCCCTAAAAAACGGGCATCTTCAATTTTCTCACTCTCGGTTCCCCTCCGCTCCAACTTCCTCTTCCACCTCCGTCTCCTCCCATATAGTGATTGTTGTGATCTCTCCATTATTCTCTCCCACATTTCCTCCTCTCATAGATATCCTCTTCCTCAAAATCAGCCCTCCTTGTTTCTTCCTCCCAATTTTTCCTTATGTTATATCCTTCATTCATTTTCCTCCTGGTTATCGGTTCAAGAGGTGGCATATTTTCCCTATCATCCAAGATTTCTACCTTTAGATCATCCCACATTGTGTCGATATTGGGGGTCCCCCACTTCCTTGGCCACCAAATGGTCCCCTCACCTCTGATGTTTCCAGTTGTGTGTGAAGCTTCAATATTTTTTTCATCATTTCCTCTAGGTTAGAAAACCTTTCATGGATGAAATTCTTTCCTCAACTTTAGGTTTGAATTGACCAACTTCTCCTTCTAATTTCTCTTCCAAAGCATCCACTCTATTCGGCACCATAGGTCCTAAATCTTGCTCTGATACCAATTTGATAGGACTTGATGATCAAAACAGTACACAACAATATAAAAAATAGCAACTTACTCCAAATAGATACATAAATAACACAAAGAGAGTTGTTTTTACTAATATCCGAGCAAAGCAAGACAAGATACAAGTTGATTCATTGTTCGAGAGGTGAGTCGTCTCTCCCATAATTCCTAGCAGCTGCTAGGAACCTAAACACCTCCAAACATTGCTGCAGAAATTCAAAACATAATATAAAAAACCCTAACCTACCATAATCTCTCCCCTTAAACAGCTCAAATCCCCTAATAAATGCCCATTACATATTCCCCAAAGAGTCCCCCCCCCAAATCCCCCCAAAGGCCCCCCCCCCCCCCCCCCCTCCAAAGAGTTTCCTCCCAAAACCTTTTCTCCTATAGGTGATAAAGGAGATCCTGAGCCCCACATGGGCAGTTGAACTGTTGCTGCCAGTTGCGTCACACATATGACTGGAAATACAATACCTCATCACTAATACTTACTACCAATAAAAAGCTTGATTAATAAAGAAACAAAAAAAAAAAAAAAAAAGTTCAACGAGAGCTTCCAAACTGTAGGAGGAAATAAGGCTTGTAATCCTTATGTTAAGGCTCTAATATTCCCTTGAAAAGGTGTTTTCTGTCCTCATAAAGGCACATATTCCTTACGCCACGTCTCTAATCTTCAATTGAAAAAGGCATTGATTGTCCTCATCAGACATCGAATTTAGAGGTGGTAAAGGCCTGCAGTTCTTACAACGAGTCTCTGATATTTCCTCCAAAAAATCAAGATCCTTGAAAAAGGCGTTGATTGTCTTTGCTGAAGAGAAGGGATTTATGGGTGTGGTCAAATCTGCAGTCACTATAGTGAGGCTCTGGTCTGCTCTTAAAAATGGTGTTACTATCCTTGTTGGACGGATTGGATCTGGAGGCAACCAATATTTGTAGCTTCTGTGATGAGGCTCTGATCTTCTCTTAAGGTGTTGATTCTCCTCATCTAGAGGGATCAGATTTGAAGGCAAGGCATTTTTCCTTGTTTTCGAGTTTTGATTTTCTTCCTGTTTGAAGATGATGGTTTAAGTTTGAAGGATGGAAGATTATGTTGTGGATAATGATTGATAAAGTGATGCAGAAGCATTAATGAAAAGATGTTCCTCCAAAAATATCTAAAATTTGTTGGATACGTTGATTTTCCAATCTTGGGGCAATTATCTTGCTTGCGTCAACGTTTCTCATAAATTATATGAATGTGTATGTATTTTGTCAATTTTGATGATATGAATTATCGGCATTGAAATTTGGAGCTATTGAAAACATTTGAGACGTGTTGCAGTTGAGTTGAGGTATAAGTTATTTTCTTGAAAACTGCAACAAGCCTTAAGGAAGAAGAGATTACTTTTTTGGAAGCAAAGATGGGAGTTTGAAGAGTATAAAAGACTTCAAAAATACTTTTGTGATGTTGATAAAATGTTGCTGATATTATGAAGATATAATAGTTTTATATGAGACTTGAAATAAGGCTTGTTATTTGTATAACACACAAATATAAGTTTCTTGATGTAATATATAAGCTTGATTAATATTTACAATCAAGTTATTGGAAGTAAGAATGATATCTGATGAAATATCAATATTTTGTATAATAGTGATCTAATATTATGAGGACTTGACCTTCATCAGAAGTTAAACCATTTTGAATGTTTGCATCTCTATTTTTTTCGTGTATAAGTATGATTGACATAATATTGATAGACTATATTGATGATGTAATTTTAACCAAGCTCTTTGTCAATATTGGGGGTCATGAAGAATTATTTTAAAAATTTATCATTCTTATGATGGAAAATATTTAGGGAAATTCCTAAAGTTTTTGTTTATCTATTTAAGGTTATTTATCACAGTCACTTGATGACATTAACCTATGTGGAAGAGATAAAGAGAAATCCACTTAGATTTGATCTATTTGAGATTGTTTGTCAATGTTGATGAAGTTAACCTGTGTAGAAGAGATATGAAGGAATAAGCTAGTGATTTGTTATCTATCTAAGATTGTTTGTTAGAATGACTTGATGGCTTTGACCTCCATGGAAGAGTTCGAGAGAAACCGTCAAGAATATTTGAACAATCTATGTTATTTGTAAGAGTATTACTCGATGACCTTAAAGTGCATGAAAGAGGTCGAAAGAAATCTACCAAAGATATTCGATTGATTTGAGATTTGTTAGTGTCACTCAACGACGTTGACTTGTTCAGAGAGGTCGAAAGAAATCTATTAAAAAATTTTGACCTATCTAAGGCTGTTTTTCTAAGTGTTACTCAATGATATTAACCTGCATGGAACATGTCAAATTAAATCTCTCTAGGATTGTTTGTAGCTTGACGTGGGAATTTCCCAAATTGATGGTAGAAATTTATGTCTTTAAATAATTACTGCTCTTTTGAGGTCATAACTGTAACTTTCTTATGGAGTAGTAGTCTAGGGAGGGACTATAAAATTTAAAATTCACTTAAACTTTCTTGAAAAGCTCTCCATATTTGCAGGAGGCTTTAAGAATGAACATTGTAAGTAAAATTGCCTTGGATGAATTAAAAAAATAATGACTGGAAGGACTATAAACCCCTCCTCCCCTAGTCTTATTCTGTTTCTCATGGAATTATTACAACGATGGACGATCGATGAGAGAAGTTTTTTAACTACAACTCCTAGGGCATTGTCCTTTCAATGTTTGTAATTCAAATTTCCCCCAAGTATTCAATTCTTTTACAAGTGATAAAATAGTATACAACAAAGGGATTGCACCGCTACAATCATGCCCAAATGTTGACGTAAATGACCTTTTGAGTTTATAGTATTGGTTGCACGCTAGTTTAGAATAATTTCTCATAGACATCACCAAACTATTGCGTGTCCGGATATTCACAATGGTGGAGTGAGAATTTAACCACTTAACATTGTATAGAGATAAAAAACAGATATATAGATAAGAAAAGAGTTGTAAGAGACATCATAGCTTTTATGTGAAAAGACTAGAAAGGGAAAAACAATGGGGCTTAGCCCACTTAATATGATTTTTCTAGTGTATATCAGGATTACAAATGATGATATTCCTCGCAATGGAGGAAGACTTAGGCATAAATTGTATAGAATATATTATGTTGTGGCTCCGTGTTTTCAACAATTAATAATTATTAAAAAGGCAACTTGCATGTTTTGTTTATTACCTCAACTTTCTGAATTAAAAAAAAAACTTTTTTTTTCTAATATGTTATCTGTTTTGTATCTGCAGTCATTCTTTCACTTTTTATAACAAGTAGATGTTAACTTGGGTACTCTGTGTTTCTTTCCTATGCTTTTTTTTTTCCTACATAATCTGCCAAAGTTATTTATTTTCTTGCGTACTCCATAACTGCAAAACAAACAAGTGAATGGTCAAGTTTACACAAGCGAGACCTTTATCTTCATCACTATAATTAACATAACTTCTAAAGGTGCTTGATAAAAAATCCAGTCTCATTTATTGATCCTCATTGTCTTACGTTGTTCTTCTTTTTTTATTGATAATGCTTTTATTGCTTTTTTTTTGCAGGCCTGTTATTACACTTGTTTATCCACTGTAAGATGATTTTTTTTTTCAATTTTTTTTCTCACTTAAAATAAGGAAGTCTTCTCAATCTTGTATAAATGTTGCAGGTATGCTTCAGTAAAAGCAATTGAAACAAAATCTCCTATTGATGATCAGCAGTGGCTCACATACTGGGTGCTGTATTCTCTGTTAACATTGTTTGAGCTTACTTGTGCAAAGCTAATTGAATGGTAACTATCATTTTTGGTGTTCCATCTCATCATTGCAGTATTTTGTATGAACTCTTCCTTCATTCCTTAAACATAATTTTTCTACATTTTCATTTGCATTATATCAGAAACTGTATTCTAAGTTTCTGACCGTTTTCATGCAACAGAATCCAAAAATCAATTTTGTTACCATTTGCTTCTGTTCTGTCATCCAAATTTGCAACATAAAAGTAGTAGTTTAGGGTTTAGAATATAAAATTCTTTTGTCCCTTTCTGGTTTATTATATAGATTATCGTTTTAAACAAATCTAGGCAAGCATTGGGTTTTAATTGTTCGGCCTATTTTTCCGGCCATAATTTGGTTGATATTGTGCTGTGGATGCTGCATTGATGTTTTTTTTTATGCAGGCTACCCTTTTGGCCTTATGCTAAACTGATTTTCAGCTGCTGGTTGGTTTTACCTTACTTCAGCGGCGCTGCTTATGTCTACCAGCATTATGTGCGGACCATATTTTTGCAAAACCAGACCACCGTAAACATGTGGTATGTACCACGTAAGAAAAACATTTTTAGTGAGCCAGATGATGTTCTTTCGGCAGCAGAGAGATTTATTGAAGAAAATGGGCCCGATGCATTTGAAAAGCTGATAAACAAGGTATGCATAATCAATTCCTGGTTTGTTTTTTATTTATATTTTGACATTAAATAAAACATATTTTTATCTTAAATATATGCATCTCGAATAAGTTACCGGTTTATTTATAGTTCAACTGGTGAATAGGTCTCGGTTCTTTTGAACAGGTTGGTTCAATGAACATTTAAATAATTAATTTAATATATTTAGAATAAAATATTAACTTAAAGAACGTACATTTAATTTAGTTTAATTTCTAAATAATTATTTGCCAAAGAAATTTCAACTTTTTTTTTTCTTCTTTTTCACATGACTCTATCACTTCATGTGAGTTGTTATCAAATGTTTATATTTATTATGTCATCCGGCTAAACTCTCTGTTCGATCCTGATCGTACCATTGAACCTCTCCTTCGGGTTCTATGTTCGATATAGTTTTCACGATCTTGATAAAATATATAGAAGTTGGTCAAGGAAAAAAATTCATCTAGTAAAAAATACAAGTGTCACGATAGTACAAGGCTATATGATTTTATGTAGAGTTAGCAAGTTGTATTTGCACCACTTGGATAGAATTACATGCCCAACGTGCACACACATGAGTGAAAATTAGAAGAAAAAAAAAGGTTTTGAATCAAAGTTATCAGTTATCTCATTAGGTACCTCATATCATCTATTTATAGATTTCTCAGCTTTTGATTGATAGATGTGGATCATATGGTTGGCACAGGGTCAATCATATCTATGTTCAAGTTAATTCCTAAATTTAAGCATTGGTTTAGGTAAGATTTGAAATCCTATTAAACCTTTTTTGGTCGCTAAGCATGGATGTGTGCATTAATTCTCGGCCTCTTAAGACCACAAATAGGCATGACAAGCCAAAGCAACCCGCAGGTATCAAATTCCCTTTTGGACTCTATATGGTCTATCAATCTTCCACAGCAACAGATTTACCTTTGGACGTGTTTTTGAACTACTTTATATTTATGGTAGCTGTGAACTAGTTACCCCTAGACCCTCCCAATGCCAATGTCAGGCTTCTCAAATCACCCCTTTTTGTTATATGTTGTGAACATTATTAAGAAATTAAATTAATTCGTTCTGTTGCAGGCACGTAGGTTATCTAATGAGAAGACTGGCAAGGGCGAAAAAGCGAACAAGTCTGATGTTTCGGAGGCTGCGAAAGTTGCAAAATCAAAAAAGAAGAAGCACGTTTCGTTTAATTTGGAGGAAAATGAAAGAGAATCTAAGTTGGAGAATTACCGGAGCCCTGCAATTTATGATGAGGTCAGGACTGACAGCGAACCAAAGTTGTGGAGCAGCAGCAGCTTTCCAATCTTTGATGCTGATTACAGCTACTGGGACTAAGGCCGCTATTATTTATTGTCATCAAGATGAACCGAGCACAATCAATACACATGCTGCTTCCCTATGTTTATATGCGCAAGCAGATGTACTAACCACCACCAACATTGTTTAAGCTACGTGCAATATAAGTTTAAAGGAAGGAGAAATCTTTTCGGTCACTACTAAGGCTTGTCGAGACTTAGTAGCTTTGAAGCTTTTGGATAAATTAAATTACCTTTGGCGACTTCAAACGACTTTGCATGGTCGGCCGCAGTTGAGATATATCAAAGAATTGATCTTTCGAATACAACCAACTAGCTTTGAACCCAATCGAAACATTATTTGGGTGTGCATAAATCATCATGCTTGAGAGTTAAGTTACATAAATGTGACATAGACCAAACACTATTTCACATTAACTCGGTCTACATAATATTATCTTCAAGGGAAAAAAAAAAAAAACTAAGTCAATTCATAAGTCTAATCAAAATTCCAGCGAGTTAAAAAGATTGAAGTGCATATTATGTGACGGTTCAAATGATGTCTAAATATTATAAATCTTAGTTAGATATTTTGAGAGCGATGAATCACTCCTTAAACTTAAAAAAAAATGGCCAAAGTGAAAATTATTTTAGTAGGCGCATTAATAGCCTCATAGTTTTCTGTCAGTTCCGCTGCGCTCCGATGCTATGAATAGGCCCAACACCAAATAGTCCAAAACAGTCAATCACAAACCTTGACCCGAGCTAGTGAGTGCAACCACCTTCTACAGCATCAAGAAATGAGTACTTGCGGCAAAACACAGCACAAACTTTCTTAGAGCTTTAAAAAAAAAAGGAAACAGAAGAAGAACATCTCTCCCAATAAACAGGGTTTGCATATTTCTAAGGCTGAAGCATATTAGATCAGAGATGCATACAATCTTATTCAAGCACTACATATAGAATAAGTCTAATGCATCATCATTCTCACATCACTCGAAGAAGCCAAGGTGATTGTTACTCCTAGACCAGTCCTCTTCTCTTTGTTAAGTAGATAATAATATGATTCTGGAGACAAACTGGAACTGGAACGCATCAGATGGCATTATCTATTTCTGAAGTAAGTTGAATTGGGGCCAATAACTGGCATTTCCTCCTGGAAAGGCTGCGTAGAAGAATCAGTCAGACCAGGAAGCCTCTGCACACTTCCTTTCCCTCTCTTAGCATTAGGGCCGATCACTTCTATCATGTACTTCCAACCATCTATTGGCCTCCTTCGGCTAAATATGTGAGTTTTGATGAAACTAGCAATCTGCAGACCAAAAATTTAACTATATCATAAAGACAACGACCTCATGTTAGCCAATTCGATTATATCTTGTAACAAACCCAGAACAAGTTTCTTCCCCTACTCCTTTCTTTATTTATCACTCGCAACCATATCATTTAATGGCATTAGTTTCATTGTCATGAGATCAGCATTTATGTAACAAGAGGAAGAAAGGTTTGATGCTAGACCTGAAATTTGTTGAAGGCCATCCGCCGCTCAAACTCCTGGAGAAGTATGTCCTCTTCCCTCTGTGATATATCCCATACGCTCCCATCTTGAGTCTTATTGGTTGCTTCCCATCCATCAGGCTTCACTTTGAACTCAGAAGTGCTAGGGATCTTGGAGTCGTTTAAATCAATATTGCCAGCATCAAATATCCTGAATTACATCAACAATTTAACAAAAGGAAACAATAAATATCAGCATTTCAAAAGAAGAAGATATTGAAATAATGTTGCGACTTGCCAAACATACCAGACACTGATAAGGCATATCAGCAGAATCATTTACAATTCTTGCAAATAATAAACTACCTTAACTGACTAACAATCCAAAATATTAAATAAGAACAATCAGTAAACTTTTCACCAGTTGATACTAATATGACACTACTAGTATCTCATGCATTCTAATAAGAAGCACCCAATGTGAGAGGAATAATTGCTTTCATGTGAGCTTGAAACCTAAGGTTTGGTTCATGACTTATTTTTTTCATTTTTCCTTTCGGGCCAGATTGAATAAAGAAAGGAGCTCAAAAATGAAATATTCAGAAAAGTATCCTTACACCTCTTTACAAGTATAAGTATATGACTTCAATGCATAGTATTGTACTAAAAGATTATATGGTGCCCAGTCTTTTAAAATCTATTGACTAAGTAGTCTAAGACTTCTGTGTTCTCCTCCTTTGACTTCCCTTCCATTCAGCTCTCTAACTAAAGGAATTAACATCCTTCTAGTCCTTAATCAGGGACATAAGACATATTTTCATTGAATCCTGTGGAACTACGAATTCCTCCACTAGTATAGTACTGGTACTCTCTTGGAATTTGATAAATAGGCCCTATCCCTAGTTCAAGGACTAACTTATTTACTTATCTATCTAACTTTATGAGTGCTAATGCTAATACCAACCTTTTTGAAACTAAGTGTAAGCTCCATAACCTTTAAGAACAATGTTATCAAGATAGCTGCCAATTGAAAGTTAGCCATACTACTTGACTTTATCAACTAAGTTGATATAGACCGCCCTTTCTAAGCCGCTTATGCAAAACTCATGAAACTAAAATCTCATACTTAGTACAGTAAATTAAAAAAAAAATTGTTGTGTATGGATGTAGCTTAGCTAGGATAGGTGGAAGAAGATGGGGAGGTAAGAATTTGCTCGGCATGTTCCTCCATAACCTGAGAGAAATGAGTTGTTCATGCATGATAGTTTGTATACTATCTAGCAGCTTCACAAGCCGACTAAAGAATGAATCTATAATGCGTGCTCAGATATGGGCCTTGAGAGTTGGGACATGTACGAGGGAAAACCTCAACGGACAATTATTCAACTGGATAAAAAGGTTATGAGTAAACTACTTCATCTCGAATTGATGGGACATCTAGGCAAGTTGTATCTACAGTTAAAGCAGTAGAAGGATGGGTGCGATTGAAGCAACAGAATGCGGTCACATTTCATTAGGGCAACCAAGCTAGAAGGTTTCACGAACTAGCTTGATTGTTTTTTCTTTTGTTTCGATTATGCATTAGTAGTACAGATAGGATGCTTGCTTCATTGAATAAAGGTCTACTAGGGGAGAACTCTAAAGAAATATTTTTCCGGGGACTCTTCCTATGATATAGCTTTCTATATGATCTCCAATGTTCTCTTCTCTTGTCCCCGCTCACTATTGATGTATGCGAAGTTCCTCATCATTCTCTCTAGCGCCTTCCTTTTTTGACTTTTTTTCTTTTCCATGCACCTTTGACTGAGAGTTTAACTGTTCAGGTTAGGCTACTATCAACTAAGGAAATTGCTTAAAGTCATGCTTTCTCTCGCCTTAGCCTTTGAGCTTCTAAGGACAATGGTTGGCCCATAGCATTGTTCGGGCTCATTGTAGCTACGAGCAAGAAATGGTAAGACTCATCCCCTTTCAGTCAAGCTACGTTGTTACTCTTGACGACTTCACAGACCAAACAGATCGAACAAACCTAGCTAACCATTCATTGATGCAATGACTTCTCATCTTTCTAGCTTCTAGTTGAGTTAGAATTGGGAAAAAAACTTGATATGATGAAAAACAAAAATACTTATTGAATCTTTTCTCACTTGCTGCAAGCTTTCTTCAACAGGCTTACAAGGCACTCCCAATAGAAGGAATCGCACTACCAATGGCAGAAGTAACACAAAGATCTAATTTCTAAGCGGTACACTTTCTCCTAATGATTGGAAGAGCAAAAGAATATACTAAAAATACACGCGTTGAAAAAAGAACTTTCTTTCACCTAGTTTGGCTGGCATTGAGAGCGTTAGAGCTCCCAGAGAAAGACTCTCTTAAGATATATCATTATGATTGCATTTCATAGTCAATCCTTGCCATATAATACAACTTTTTTGATGCAGTGGATCTACCGGGGAAATGGAAATGTTTGAGTGTTTTCCCAATCCAGGGAATAAACACACAAATACACAAAGCTTAAGCTTCAAAATGAGATATAATATTCATTGCCTTGTTACCTACTACAACCTTCTTTATATAAGCAAACATGAGAACCTTCTAGAGACAAGTATAAAATTAGATATAATAATCCTAAGGAAGAATATCACTAAAATGCTCCGCATCATTCTCCCCTTGCGTCAAAAGAGCTCGACTCCGTCGAGGCTCGTCATTGGGAGAGATTATGATCAATCCCCCTGGGTCGAAGACTTTGCGTTTTGCAAGCTCAATCATTACTCGCATGAAGGTTTGTTGCTTGAGTGATTCTCTCAAAATTGAGCCAGGAGGGTTAGCTTAGGATGTAAACTTATGATTTCGAGTTGATGGTAGGGTTTTAAAGAGTTAAAGGGGATGTCGAAGTGTAGGAAATAAGACTAGATCTTGGCTTTGTCTAGTTTGTTTGAGAGATTTAAGGATGGGATTTGGGTAGATGTAAAATTTTAGCTGCTTGTATGCCTTGGAGAATGCTTATTGTTGTGTCCAGGAGTATTCGCGGCAGTAGAGAAATATAAAGTTTGGCGTCTTAGCGTTGTACGAAAATCTGGCACGCAATCAGATAAGAGAGAGGGTGTAACATTTATGAGACACCAAAATTTTTAAGTGGAAAACCACTGAAGAAGGGGGAAACCCCACGGGGCCTAGCCCAGTTTGAATGAATCCACTAGTATTGCAGTTGATTACAAATGAGGCCCTTCATTGGAGGAAGGCCTTAACTTGATATACATCTTATAAAGTACATTATATGATGAGAATACAAATAATCACTGTTGATGTATTTGTTTGGTTTGAAGGACTGTAGTTGGTGGACGATGTAAGTCGGAAGGATCGTAGTCAGCAGGCGACGGAGGTCGGAAGGACTGTAGTCGATGGGCGACTTAAGTCAGAAGGATCATAGTCGGCGGGCGACGGAGGTTTGAAGGACTGTAGTCGGTGGGCGACGTAAGTCAGAAGGACCGTAGTCAGCGGACGATGGAAGTCGGAAGTACTATAGTCGGTGGGTGACATATGTCAGAAGGACCGTAGTCGGCGGGCGACGGATATTAGAAAGATGGCGTCATGTAGAAATCCAACATCAGATAGATGTCTGGCGAAAGTCCGACAACATGCAGAAGTCTAGCGTCGAGTAGAAACTTGGCGACGAGCAGAGGTCCGGCGTCGGGTAGAAGTCCGACGTCAGTTGGCGGCCGAGGAGAACTCCGGCGTTAGATGGTATTCGGGCAAAACTCTGGCATCATTTGGAGTTCGGGTGAAACTCCGGCGTTACTTGGAGGTCTGGCGGAATTCCAGAATCACTTAGAGGTCGGGCGAAATTCTGGCGTCACTTGGAGGTCGAGCAGAATTCTAATGGTGGTCGAGGAGGAGTTTCTTCCCTCCTATTCTTCTTCTCTTCTCCTCTTCTTGCTTGGGTCCTCTCTCAAGAGAAATGAGGGGTCTATTTATAGATTTATGGAGTGGCATTGCGCGTAAATAGGTGAGAGATCAGGGGTAAATGAGAAGTGGTTGGATGGACGGCCGATATTGAATCCCTTGATCGTGTATCGTTCGTCAGACATCTGAAGGTCTTAATGATGTCAGAATTCGGCGATCTTGGTCTTGTTGGATCATCTCGTCAATCCGCTCGATTTGACTATAAGCACGTCATGTTTCGAAACCGTTTGGTAACTCAAATTGTGGTTCAAACTTTCCAACATCACTTCAAGTCTTTGATTCAGACTCATTTGGGCTCGGATTGAGTTGAATTTGGTGTCGTTGGGTTCGAATTTTCGAGACGCTCAGTTTGACTATAAGTTTGCTGAAATCAGAGTTCAAATGATTTCAGATTTAATTTTTGAAGTTTCCAACTTGATTTTTGCCTCGAGATTCGTGCCCGATCAAGCTAATTTTTTTATGATATATCAGTTGCATCCTTATTTTCGGACATCGAAGCTCCAGAAGTCCAAAAATATTAGTTATGATATTTTACGTTGGACAAATCTCAAAAAATTGTGTTCCAAAAATTAAAAACTTACTCAAAATTGATCATAGAGGCCCCGTTGAGCTCCGAAAGTGTCAAAATTGAGTCCAGAACGTCGAAAAATGTATCCGTGGACCCTAAAAACGTCCATTTGGACCGTCCGGACAAAAAAAACAGGCACAGACAAGCGTAGGCGGCCAAACCAGCAATGGACAGAAACCCAACATCAGATAGATGTCCAGCAAAAGTCCGACAACAGGCAGAAGTCTGGTGTCGGGTAGAAACTTGGCGACGAGCGGAGGTCCGGCGTCGGGTAGAAGTCCGACGTTAGTTGGCGGTTGAATAGAACTCTGGCGTTATATGGTATTCGGGCAGAACTCTGGCGTCAAGATCGAGTGAAACTCCACGTCGCTTGGAGGTCGAGCAGAATTCCGGCATCACTTGGAGGTCGGGCAAAATTCCGGCGATGATCGAGGAGTTTCTTCTCTCCTATTCTTCTTCTCTTCTCCTCTTCTTGCTTGGGTCCCCTCTCAAGAGAAATGAGGGGTCTATTTATAGATTTATGGAGTGGCATGACCCGTAAATAGATGAGAGATCATGGGTAAATGGGGAGTGGTTAGATGGAACGCCGATATTGAATCCCTTGATTGTGTATCGTTCGTCAAACATCTGAATGTCTTAATGATGTCGGAATTCGGCGATCTTGGTCTTGTTGGATTCGTCTCGTCGAGCCGCTCGATTCGACTATAAGCACATCATGTTTCAAAACCGTTTGGTAACTCAAATTGTGGTTCAAAATTTCCAACAACACTTCAAGTCTTTGATTCAAACTCATTTGGGCTCAGATTGAGTTGAATTTGGTGCTGTTGGGTTCGAATTTCCGAGACGCTCAGTTCAACTATAAGTTTGCTGAAATCAGAGTTTAGATGATTCCGGACTTAATTTTTGCCTCGAGATTCGTGCCAGATCAAGATAATTTTCTGATGATATATCACTTATGAAGTGGAAGAAAATGTTTGAAGAGTTTAAAATAGGTGTTTAAAAAGAGTAACAAGTCAGATAAAATACAAAGATAACTACTTAATCATCAAAGATAGGAAAAATAATTAAAGCCACCTAGCATAATCAAATGAAGAACACTTTTAAGCCATATTTATAGGCATTGCAAGATTCTTGGGCAACAAGTTTAAAAAATAAATGGATGAAAAAAAAGGAGGTTGATTGTCATTTATGAAAGAGGAGTTTCAACTATCCATTCTTAAATTTTTCTCTATTCCAAATAATGTTATGAATAACTATATAATTTTTTAGGTGAAAAATAAAATATTAAATATTAAAATACAAATTACATTTAAAATTTTCCAAAATTATGAACTTTCTATTGGGCTCTTGATTAAGCTCTTATAATGAGGCATTTTCTTTGACCTTGTCCTTGGAGTGTAGCCTTAGTTCTCATAATTAAGCTTTTAAATTGACTTTTTTTATTCATATGACATGTTATATCAACAACACTCTCAATCTACAAAATTGAAGTTCCAAAGGAAAACATTTTTGGTTTAAGCAAATTACTAAGTAGAAAATAAAGGTAGAGGCACTTTGCTAATGTCCTAAACAAATAGTCAAACCCTCACACTAATATGCTAGTAAATATAAGAAAAATAGAAAAATAATATTTGTAGAACAACGGAGGAATTTTGCTAATGAAAGAGAATTAGATATAACTCAAACAGAAGTCTAAAAAATAGCAACATTCTAAGAAACTAAGTAGGTGCAAAAGTTCCTTTATTACATTAAATTGAGATACCACAAAATCTTATTTGATAGTAAAAAAATTATATTGATATAAAAATATTAAATCATTAGCCCTCCCTAATAGGCATTAACTTTTAGCTTAAAAAAATAACCATCAATTTTGCATATCTATGACTTCAAAAAGAAAAGCTCCATACCATACTCAAATCCCCAACCTCTAGGGTCATAGGATTCACATTCCAGAAAAAAACTTCCTGGTGAAAATGAAGACAATATAATATACTAAATTTGAAAGGGTAAATACATAAAGTAAAGCTTTGGTGTGCAAACAGTTTGGGTAACTTATTATTTGGGATGCTCAAATAGCGCCTGAATTGGATTCAAGAATGTTCATTCAAATTCATCAAAGCTATTAACCCAACTCGTCAAAGCTATTCACACAAACATCACAGCTACTTGCCAGAACTCGATAGGCCTTAGTGAAGTTGCTTGCCAACTTCACATTTAATCTCCTCCTACTTATCAATCAACAAATATTCTTAAGGAAATCAGATAGGTATAAGCAAGCTTACTGTATTTTACAATAAAAACCTATTCAACTTTGTTACATAATTTTATATGTATCGTTCAAATGCGATCTTCGTTGTAGCTCTGACCCATGACCTAGGCATATGAATAAGGGTTATAAGGTATATTTTTGATACATTCAATTATTTTGCTCAAATATTGTCCTTTTGGAAGTGAAATCTTGGATCTTATCATTCCATATTCTCTTTCTCTCTCACATTTTGACTTGTTGTTGCGTTAATCTTACCTGCAAGGTTCTAATATAGAACACGGATGAGGTTTCACTACAGGAATTTTGAATATTTAGCAGCCCACTATCGCATACCAGTCGCAAGTGTATAAATTTAAACAACCACGGTTTGGAAATTTAATACAACCCTGTAAATCTAATCGAGGATTGAATCGGTACTTACTCAGCGCAAGAATCAAGAAGGCGGTCGATGTCATCGCCGTCCTTGGATCGCCCGAGCTTGGACTCCTCCATCCTCTCGATTTCCTTCATCCATAGGCCGGAATGAATCCGCTGCTTCTTCACCCTATAATCGTCGAGTCCGGCCTTCCGGTCTTTGCCCTCCACCTTCTCAACAGAATGCCTGCCCTCCTCCTGTTGCAGCTTCTTGGCCTGCCTCCTCTCACTCCACCGTTCGTCCATCTCGGCAACGAAGGCCTTGGTTTCTGTGTCAATATCACCGGCGGTGATGGCAGGTGCGGACGAGAGGAAGTTGACGTCGGCCTCCCATGGAGCGCGGTTCTTGGCCGAGAGATCGTCAGGGAGCCAAGCCGTCTCCCACGCGTCATTCCATTCGTCTTCCCCGTAGGCACACGCGGATTTCGCCGACGGCGTCGCTCTGCCTCTCGACGAGAAAGGTCGGAGCTTTGATGCGGAGAATTGAAATAGGCGGCTCCGCATGGACTGCATTGGTTGGTGCAGAGCAGCTAAGGCCCTAACGAGACTGAAAACGAAAATTGTAAATAAAACTCTTTCATTATTCGAACATTCAATTGATAATATGATGTGGGCTACAACAAATTGGGCCATTAAGTTTAGGCCCTTATTAGTATGGCTGCACTAAAATTAGATAGATCACTAAGACTTGATATTTTTTAGTAGAGTTAAGATGGTGTCTATATAGTTAAATTATAGATATGACTTGGACCTTTAAAGGAGTATATATGCAGACATCATCAACATGATAATTACTGTTAATTAGATTTCTCAAACCCTAAACTTAAAAAACATCAGGTTTTTTTTTCCCTATCAATGTTGTAGTTAACGATCAAACTCCATTGATCTGCTTGAACTATGTCCCTAATTTAGACTGCTAGCTGATTTCTCATGCATGGGTTCAAATCTTTATATGACGATTTCCTCATTATAGCTACATCTTTCTATCAAATTTTGTAAGCACAGACAAGATATATAAACTGGTCGACACCTATGATATGTTGAAGTGAACTGATAATTGTTTGACCATTAAACTTGATATAGTTGAAAGATTAGCATAAGAAATAGCATGTATGCAGCTCATCTTGATTTGTCAGTTTGGAATTTTGACTATCAACTAAGAAAACTCAAATGCGTATGTGATGCATGTGTGTATGATTTTATCTTAATTAATCTAAATTGTACCCCTAAAAAAACCTGTACTAATTGATTGATGCGGCAACCACCCCCTCCTCCACAAATACAAAAATCATTTGATTAAGGACTGTCTATGCAAGTTGGCTGCCACGTAGCTAGACATTATTAAGAGTTGTGCAATGAAGAATTGACCCTTTAATATATTTGTATTCCCATATCAATCTATACAAACATTTAATTTATACGGCAATGGGATTAAGGTATTTATAAATCAAAATTCAAGTACAACTCACGTTATAAATAAATTAATAAGTCCTCCTTAAGATTAAACTAATTTACACTAGCTAATTAATTAGATCGAATCTTATATATATATATATATATATATATATAAGATTCGATCTAATTAATTAGCTAGTGTAAATTAGTTTAATCTTAAGGAGGACTTTGGATTTGTGCTTCTTGAGTGCTAGAATATTCACAACGGTAGACGTAATGTATTTAACGTCTTAGCTTTGTACAAAGGTCTAGTATATACACAAATAAAACTAAAGTTACAAAAGACACCTTATTTTTATTTAAAAAATACTAAATAAAAACAACAAGGCTTGAACCAATCAAAATAATTCTTATAATATATGTCATGGTTGCGAATGATATACCTTGCCTCATAATTGGGGAATGTACTAATACAATATAATAGATATGAATTATATAGAATGAATTCAATAGTAAAAATTGTAGGACCCTTGACTTATTGGATTTGTTTCAAGAGATCGTTTGTGGTCTATTCAATTGTCCCATTTATGAGGTCTCTTCAATTCTCCCTTTGCTGAGAGAAGGCTAAAAATAAAGAAGGCATATTGGTTTTGACTTCATGAGACGAAGTTGGTGTCCACGGTGTGTATCAGCCTTATTGGAAATGACATGCATTGACGCTGTACGTAAGGTGGCAATGGTGTGCGATAAAGTTGGTGGGTGTTGACAACGTGCATAGGTGGTGTGTTGACGACGTACACTAACCTTATAGGCGTGAGTGCTTCAAGGTTGGTGCCTATCATGGGCATCATGGGAGACAATGATTGGCATACTATAGTTGGTCGATAGTGGTAATGAGGTTGCGCTTAGACGATAATGACCGGGAGTATAGTTGGGAAAAATTGGTCAAAAGGGCAATGGTGGTCAGGAAATTATAGTCGCGAGATGGTGATCAAGGGACTTTAATTCAGTGATAGTGGTTGGGAGACTACAATTCAACAATGATAGTCAAGAGATCATGGTAGAGAAATGATGTTTGAAAGATTATAGTTGAGAAACAAAAATAAATATCACAATCAGAATATAATGATCAAGAGATCATGGTCTGGCAACAGTAGTTGAGAGATTGTAGTCAAGCAATAATGATCAAAATATTATGGTCAAATGATTATAGTTAAGAGTACATAGTCGAATAATAGTTATCAGGAGACATTACTCAAGTGAGATGGTGACTGAAAGGCCATAGTCATTTGACAGTGGTAAAGAGATTGTATTCAAAGATGATGATCAGGTGATCGAGGGGCCTTTACCATTATTATTATTTTTTATCTTAAAACCACTACCTATCATGGTTTACCTTTGTTGTGGATTTCAGAAGAGGATATCCCTTCTCTTGCGGCCCCATTCGAATTTGTATTGATTGGAAAACTTCCTGCTCGTAGACCTTCCCTCCATTTAATTCATAAAATTTTATTTAACCTTAAACTCATAGGTGATTTCTATATGACTCTCTTGAATCCAAAGCATGTGTTGATTAAATTGGTTAATAATTTAGATTATAGTAGAGTTTTTTCTCTTCGTTCGTATTTTGTTAATAATTATTATATGAAACTATTCAAGTAGTCGCCATATGATATTGATGTGGAATCCATCAATATTCTGATATGGGTTTTGTTTCATAACCTCTCACACCATGTTTTTTTCTTTTTGTTACTGCATGGATTGGGTTCTTTGTTCAGTCAGCCATTAAAAAATGATAATGCTACTTTCATTGGCTCGAGGCCCTCTATTGCTCGAGTTCTTGTTCAGCTTGATATTACCAAAAAGCTACCCTAATCGAGTGTGACATGCATGATCCTGATAAATTAGGGTATATACAACATGTTCAAATGAGAAGTTCCCTCCCTTTTGTGCTGACTTCACATACCCGAGGCATTCTAAAGTGATTTGTTGTATACTTCACCCCCATTTAGATGATGTTCCCGTCATCATCCCCTACCCTATGATTGATGTTGACATGGTAACCAATAATTTAGTTCCAAATGGGTGTTCTGATGTTGTTGTTCAGGATACTATGGAAAATATGTACACTACAATTGTGAATCATATTTTGACTTATGTTGGTGATGTTATTGGCTCTTTTGATGCTTTTGATACTTTTGTTATTAAGGTTAGTATTAATGTTATTGCTGAACTAGTTGTTCCTTCTACATTTATTTTCTCTATTGTTGAAAACACTTTGGATAATTTTAATGTTATGATTGATAATCTGTTAATGGTATTTGGTACTAATATGAATGGTAATTTTTATTATTCTACTCCTCTTAGTGATTTTAATTGTGGCTCATGCTGATAATTCTCTTGTTATGTTAAATGTGCCTTTTGGTGGCATGTTAGATTTTTTTTAAACAAGATATGCTTGGCTCTTCTATTCCTACAGTGATGCTTGAGAGTTTGGATGTTTCTAATAAACTACCTATAGTTAACATTTCAATTTCCCCTATTTCTAATGAGGCTTTGCTAAATTTGGGTTTGGAAAAATTGCATTTGGTTGCATTCTAATGTTCATCCGATTGTTCAATCTTACTGGCTAAATTCTTATGATTATATGGCTATCTAGGGGACTGAAGGCCATAGTAATATTTTTCATGAGGATTATGATTTGAATGTGGTGCAACTGGATAAGAAGGCTTTTCCAATGTTGTGGGTGAAAACTTGGCGTAACCTTTCAAATATATTGAGAGAAGATCTACTCGAGCTAATGTTATTCAACTCTTTTGTTGTTAGGTTTATTTTGTCAGTGTTGCTTGGATTGGTGGTAGTAATTATGGTTGGTTTTGCTGCCTGGGTTATTTCTTTTATCTATCTTCTCTGGTCATCCGAGATTGGCTTTGGGCTCTAGCTATTTGTTTCTTGGTCTAGTTATTTTGTTGGTTGTTTATTGTGTTGGTTGGGTGCTTCTGTTGCCCACTTGTGTAGTGTGGTGTCTGATTTTATGTTTAGTCCTCTTTGATTTTCTAATTTGTTTCCTTAGAGGTTTTTCTTGCAGGTCTTTGCAAGTCAAGAGGCTTTGGGGTGCCTTTGGTGGTTAATTTGACTTGCTATCTTATCAAGTGCCTTGGTATTTTATATTACTATTTTAGGTTGTTAATTTACTAGTTTTGTAGCTTTCTATCCTTGTGGTGGATGTTTTTTGGGGATCATACAATTAGCTTTGGCTGATTTTTTGTGGTTTCTTTTGATCCTTGTGGACTTCATTGATGACCTGGTTTGGACTCCGTTTTTAGGGTTGTTTCTTGCCTCCCGATTTTTTTTCTTTTGATTATTGTATTAGATATGAACATTAGCTCATTAAGTTTTTCTTTGAATGATGTATTTTTTTGGCTCTATAGAGCATTTGATCTTTAATGACTTGTAACATTTTATTAATTAATGCGTATGCTCCTTTTTATTAATTAATGCGTACGCCAGACTTTAATTTGTCCATCGATAGGCTTCTACCCAACCCCAAATTTACACGGATAGCTGGATTCCTATCCAACACCGGACTTCTACCTGACGTCGGATTTCTTTCTGTCGCCGAACTTTTGCTGGACTTCTATCTGACGCCAGATTTCTGTCCATCGACAGACTTCTACCCAACGCCAAACATGAACCCGTCGCTGGATTCCTATCCAACACCGGACTTTCACTCGTCACCGAATTCCTACCCAATGCTAAACTCCCGCCTGCCGCGGAATTTCGTCGGACTTCTGCCCGTTGTCATACTTCTACACATCATCGGATATTCATCGGACTTCTATTCGACGATGGACATATGTTTATAGATGGACTTCTATCTGACGTCGTCCTTCTAACCTCCTTCGTCAAACAACGGTATTTATGACCTCCGTCGCCCGCAAACTACGGTTCTTCCAGCTTACGTCGTCCACCGACTACAGTCCTTCTGACCTCCGTTGCCAGACAATGTTCTTTATGACCTCCATTGCCCGCCGACTACAATCCTTCCGACTTACGTCGCCCACCAGTCCTTCCGATCTCCATCGCCAGACAATGATGTTTATGCGCGCCCTACGTCGCCCGCCGACTATGATTCTTCTGACTTATATCGCCCACCGACTACAGTTCTGCTGACCTCCGTCACCAAATTATGGGCCTTCTGCGCGCCAAACGAACACATCAACAGTGATTTTCGTATTCCCATCATGCAATGTATTCCATATGATGTACATCAAGCCAAAGCCTTCCCCCAAAGAAAGGCCTCATTTGTAATCAACTGCAAATATAAGTGAATTAGCCTCGTGGTTTTTCCCTATTTTCAGGGGTTTTCCACATAAAAATTTTGGTGTCTATTATAAATGTTGCACCCTTTCTCTTATCTAATTGCGTACTGAATCTTCGTACAAAACTAAGATGTTAAACTTTATATTTCTCTACCGCCATGAATACTCCAGGATGCTCTCTCTCTCTCTCTCTCTCTCTCTCTCTCTTTTTACTTTGCATTTATAAAGAGGGTAGAAGGCCTATCTAGAGAAGGGTATATTTAATCAGCAGGTGAACATGGCCTCTGCGTGTTAAACAACTTGAAGACACTAAGGTATGGGCGTACTACTCCTCTTGTTCTCTCTCCATCAGCTTAATTTGAATATATTAAAATGAGAAATTTATTTCAAACTATCTGATATAAAAAATATAGTTATATTGATATTGTAGGAGTAAGATCGAGGAGTGCTTACTTTGGTATTTTTAAATACGCGCACCTGTCCTCCTGTCTCCTTCTTCATCATCATCAAGAAGGTCGATCTCTTGTGACTTGTTAGCTCTTCCTCCTCTCCATTGTTTTCGATATATCTTACACAACGTAGTCCTAAGAGCTATGGCTCTAGCTACATAGCACAACTGACTAGCTAATTAATTAAGAACAGGAAACCGGCAAAAACTCTGCAGCTTATAGCTATTTAGCTATCTAGATCAATCATGTCGAGCCGCCGATCAAGGTCATCAAGGCAGGCAGCCAGCTCTTCGCGCATCACTGAACAGCAGGTCCGGGAACTCGTCTCCAAGCTTCAGACTCTTCTCCCTCGTCAACAACCACTGAACAACGATAATGACACGGTCAGCATCCATTGTCATTCTTCCCCTTCTTCTTCTTCTTCTGTTTTTTTCTTTTTCTTCTCCTTCTTCTTCTTTCATTCTTCTTCTTCTTATTCTTCTCAATACTCTTCTTAGAACTACACTATAAAATTAATATAGTGTACCCCGGAAGACATTACAACCAAAACAAACACAGATCGAGTTATGTGTGTGTTTGATCTGTATAAACATACATTATTGTTTGTTAATGCGGGCAAAATGCTCGTTGATCATTGTAATTTTAGCGCGCACATGCAATATAATTACGTACATTTCTCGCACATGAACATTAAATGCTTCTTAATCACGAATCAAGTTCTTCATTTTTTTTTTCTTTTTTGGTGAGAAAAAAATTAAAGCATTCGTTTTTTTATCTGCTGAGTGATGGGGATGACACTTGTTTATATATCTTAGGCATTAAATAACGCCACACGTACGTATCGTCCTTGTACATATTATTATCTTGCAAAACAAGTTATGAAATAAAAGTAATATTTATTAAAAAGTGGCCTGCATATGGGGATATATAAAATGGGTTATTAATGGTGCAGGCATCGACATCAAGAGTATTAAGGGAGGCGTGCAATTACATAAGGAGCTTGCACAAGGAAGTCGACAATCTCAGCGAGAGGCTTTCTGAGCTGCTACAGAACACCGATAACGACACTGATCTGGAAGCCGTCCTTAGGCGCATGCTCATGTGATCGTATTACATATAATTAATGTACTTGCGCTACTCGCAAACTACTTATCTAGCCATGCCAGTTCTATATATGCTTAGAAATTAATGGATCTTTCCTTTATTTCTTACTTTCTAGCTGCTCTTCTATCAGTTAATGCAATATTATATATTCATGCCACTTTTTAAAATTTTGTTTTACATAGCTAATTTATATATATATATATATATATATATGAATTGCATGAAATTTTGTTTTCTGATGATCTGTCTCAGCTTGTTCTTATTCCATTTTGTCTAATCATCATGCATGACTTATGACCTTTTTTTAGTTTTGACGATATATAATATAAATTAATTTACTTATTGTTTGATTAAACTGGATTTGTGGCTCTTTAAAAGTTGTTTGAAGTCCGAAAAGGATGGATGTGAATGATTTGATTTCTTTTGATACTCTCAATAAGTGCAAGGAAGAATGTGTAATGTTGTTTTTGATAATAGTGGGAAGCTATACGAGGAAGGTGATATGTTTTCTTAATCGTGTTTGCCATTTCAAGGTAATAGAGAATCGCTTCTTTTCCCAATTTTAAGAGGAAGACAGTCAATTCTCTGATTTCTAGAGTTTCATCATTGTTAAGAATAATACTACTTTTATCCTATCAACTCCACTTTCTCGTAGCTTCTGACTGCTTTTAATATAACTTCGCCCCACGTGTGAATGTCAATTCGCGTGTATAGCTCTGCGTAATATGCTGGGCTCACTTACTTTATATATATATATATTGTATGCACAAGCTAAGAGCTTTCTCATGGAGTCTTTATATTGATGGAATTTTATTTATTATTATCTATTTATTAAATCAAATAATACATTGATTGTTTCCCATGTAAGTAATAGAAATGAGTAATAAAAGAAAATATGATATTACTTTTTTATAATTGGTATATCTAAAAAAATTGCAGGATCAACAAGAATCTCAAGGCAAATACTAAGTTAAAATTTTTTAAGTTAAATTTAGGATCATCTAAACTACAATTTCAATAAATTTACAGTCAAACCGAGCGTCTCAATAAGACGAACCTAATGAAACAAAAAGAGATTCAATCCGAGCCTAATAAGCCCAAATCAAACATTAATTTTTGAAGCATGCACAATTAAAAAACTTGAGACATAAATTAGAAGACCAAATGACCACTACATTTGATATGTTTATAGCCAAACCAAACAACTCTACGAGATGAATCTAACAAACTTCATATTACTCAATTTTGATATCATTAAGGCACTTAAATATTGAACGAGCACTTCATGATCAAAGGAATCGATATCGACTACACTATAGTGTTTTAGATTCTAGATCAAATTACTAAAATGCTCTTCCCAAAAAGCATATGAATAGAGCTTCATCCTCCAAATGATGGGGAGAAGAATAAGGGCTAGAATTAGAAAGCTCTCTTGCATTTTTCATCCATATATAACTGTTGATGCCTTGATGGTCATTGCCATCTATCACAATCGACGACCACTACCAATATTACCATTGAGGATCACCACTAGTAATCGCTACTATCTCTAGACACCTATCAAGATTTAACTCTATTATTGGATATTAATTGTTTGTTAGTGGACATCAGACTTTTGCAATCCGTATAAGGGAAATCATGCATTTTTATTGGATGTTAACTATTTATTTATGGACATTAATTTATTTTATGTAATCTCCACATGAAAAATTATACATTGGTTCTCAAATAATTTCATCTTCTTCAACTCTGAGGAATGAAGGATTCTTGCATCACTAATTATATAGCAAATTTTTTAACTATGCCAGACCGTGTGGTTTTTCCCCATATTCATGTTTTCTACGTAAAAAAATTTTGGACTTAAAATATTTATTTGTGTGTGCTTTTTTTTTTTTGTAACGCTGAGACATAAAAAATATACTTTATCGACTCAAATTTTCTAGCACGTAAAAATTATGATAACATATTTTAATAATAATGATTATATATTCATAAATATTATATGGGTGTTCTAACATTTATATAAAACTGAATAATTCTCACTATAAAAATTAGAATACAATCGCCAGATAAAAATATTATTAAGAATAATTTTAGATATACATATATTATCAATTTTGGATGGATTAGTGATAAGTATAAATTATATACTATTTAATATGTTTTATTTTGTCGAAAAGAAATATCGATAGCAAGTTGATCGGTTAATTCCATAAGAATAAGAAAGAAATGGACCACCGAATGCTCGGTGACAGGTTTATCTCCTGAGAAATGCTCTACCCTCCGAACCAGACCGACAAGCTCAAAGAAGGTGATGCAAATTCTCACTTTTTTCACTCAGCTCGAAGACGCTCGAACAGGATCTCCCATGTTCGGATTGAGGACAATAATGTTGAGGAGATTGAAGAAAGTTTCTAAGTGAAAAGTATTATTTTAGTTGATTTTATATAGGAAAAACTAAAAAAAATTTATAGAAAATACCGAGGAGCCGGCCACAGCGTTTCATGTAGGAAGAAACACCGCCGCAGCAGCACCTTCAGCATCACAGAGGCTCCACATTTTAGACTTAGCAGTATATATATAATATTCTTTATTTTCGAGCGCTGCGATGGTAAAGCATCCAACGCTACATCGTTGTTAGCATCGTTGTGTCAAAAAGTCAACTTGGCAACGCCAAGTTATTAAAAATTTAAATGCAATGACACCACAATTTCTCACACCTTGGCTCCAACTTTTCAATCAAACGCCGTAACAGTCAAATGTTAATAGCATCACGACGTTGCAGTTGTAATTTCCAAGGCTCACGTTGTTCTAGTGAAAGGTTATGACTGCTCACTAAGCAACCATTCCACGTCATCAAGCATCACGATGGAGCAGAAAATTCATCACAGAGGCACCAGTTCATTTTAAGGTGGAAGAGAGGATGAACAAGATTTTGGTGGAGAAGTGTTTGATATAATTTATCCAATGCTAGGTTAGATAGAGTCTTTTGAGATGATGTTATATACTATGCCTGTCACATGATGAATTATCTACCTTAAGTAGCTATTAGGAAGAAAACCCTAAAGGAGATGTGATTGGAGAATCCTACTATAGATTATGAGCACTTTTAAGTATTTGAGTGTTCAACTTATCATATATTGTTCGGAATGATAAATTAATTAGAACCAAGAGCAAAGAATGTTATCTTTTATTTGCTTCAGGCGTGGAGTTAAGGGCTTCAACCTTTATGATTAGGGAGATAACAAGTTTTTTATTACCAGAGATATTACATTTAACGAGGTGAGCATGTTGACACCTTAAGACTAAAAATAGGTGGAGAGTTCTATTGGAATCATATATGCACTACAAAAGTTAAAGTTTGATTAAACTCAATTTGTTCTATAAAGACCTATCATTTATACTAGTGGTATCAATTACTGAAACGACCCAAAAACCTAACCCAAATATGACTAGGGTCAACACACGAAAGAAAAGTGTTAAGTTTGGGTCCAATTTATGGACCAAACTATAATTCGAGTTGAATTTGGGTTAACTCGATAACCTGATATCGACCCGACTAATATGTATTAACATATCCCATGTGGTCGCGCCTGCGGCTTAATCCCTTTAGATTTTTTATTTTAGGCATTTAACATTTTAAGGTTTCAGGCTTTCAGCGTGACTGGGAGACTAAGACTAGACCACTGGAGACGCTGTGGCCGCGACTTCTCATGATTTCTCTGGCTTCCCCTTTCTCATTGCAAATTCTTTGAATCTCTCCTCCTCTTGTCTTTGTTTGTAATATCTTGAATAAATCATCATGTTTTAGTGTTTTTAGTTTTCATTGAACGGTTCTTTTTAAAATTTTGAAATTAGATTTTTGATCGAATATGTATTCTTTCGATTTGCTCCACTTTGGTCATTTTGATTTAGGGATTTGAAAGTGAAGTTGAAAGGCTTTTGGAGATTAGGGTTTTACAATTTTATTATTTTAGATTTTTCATTTAATTAGTTATTATAGTTTAAGATTTCTAGGGATGTTAAGATTATGGGATTTTGTTGACATATTGGTATGGAGATTAGAGTTTTATATTGAGAATTGATATTAGGGTTTACTGTTGAGTGGTTTCCTATTATGTTTTGCTATTTTAATAGCTTGATGGGGTTGATATATTGTTATGTTTATAATGAGATGCTCTGTTGCTATGTTGCACAACTGTAGTATTTATTTATTTTTATTTTTTTAATGTGCGAGGGAAGTTTTTCACAATTGTATTATAGTGTAGTGTTGCTGTTGAGATTAGGGTTTGCTACAAATTTTAATGAGTTGCTCACGTTGGATAGTTATAGCGGTGTTGTTATTGTTATTCGTATGGTTGAACTTTTATTTCCATGTAGTGGTAATTGAATCTATTTTTTCAATTATGTAACAGTAAAATCTGTGAGGTCTTAGTTCTGCTTGGTATCATTCAAACTTTTGCTCGAATGACTTGGTGAGTGGTTGGATCTATTTTTTCTTTGCTAGATTATTTCCATATTGGTACTCGACAAGAAGGGATTGTTCTTTAGTTGTTGGTTTGGTTAATGTTTCATTCTTCAAGTATTTTACTATTTTGTGGAGTTGTTTATATAATTTTTTTAATCAATTTATTATAATTATAAATTTTTATTAAGATTTATAAAAGATGATATATTTAATCAATTGGCTATATTTATTATAACTCTTTGGATTTATTTGTATAGTGAAAAATATGTCATGACATAATATACATTTATTATTAGTATTGCATAAAGATATGCATACACATAGCTAATATAAATTCACAATAATGAGCTGGTATGTTGCACAGTTCTAGTGTAGTGTTATTGTTGTTATTATTTTTTCTGCTATAAGATGTTGTTATATTGATGCCACTGAACACGGGCTTTGCTCAGTGCTCGACTGCTCTGGCGATTTGGAGGCGATCTAGGGTTTCTCCATTGTGCTCTCTGCCTAGCCTTCATGGCATGGTTTTTTCTCTACTTTTGGTTT